TCTTTGGCTGAAGTTATGATAATGTATTCCTGGGATGTTTGAGGTTCATTTAACCTGGTTGGTCTCCATTCAAAGGTCCACTTTCTTCCTTCTCCTCCTGGGATCTCACACTGGAGAATAACTTTCTCACCTTTGTATATCAGAGGCCAGTTTGGGTTCAGGGTCACAGTGGCTCGATTGAGAACTGTTCACATAAACAACATAATGTATTAGTTTAAGAGAAAGAATTTAACTTTATTTGACGAGTTGTGAATAAGACACCGTCATAAACATGATATAACGCCAGTCACAAATATGAAGTAAGTCTTTGTGAATATTTATGACTTTTGTCATAAAGTGTCATTCGGTAAATCATGACACTTTCAATACAAAGTTGACATTATTCAATATTTCTTCGCTGTGACAACTTGACATTAACTAAGAAATCATGATCTGACCAATTTGTTATAAAACTATTACTAATTAAACTTTAAAAAATTATGTATCTTTCTGTGGTTAAAGCTCAAATTTAAAAGTTAAAGCTAAAACATTATAAAAGTCTCTGTTTTGGTTGGCACTCACATTTTTCACCTACTAAATAGCTCTTTACCATACACCTTTTTCACTTACACTTTTAAAGGCCTCGCCTTTTCTCCTCCAAACATATTGCTGGGTGTTGTGGCCAAACAGCTCGATTTTTGTTTTGTCTGACCACAGAACTTTCCTCCAGAAGGTTTTATCTTCGTCCATGTGATCAGCAGCAAACTTCAGCCGAGTCTTAAGGTGCCTTTTCTGGAGCAAGTGCTTCTTTCTTGCACAGCAGCCTCTCAGTCCATGGCTCTTGACCATCCTGACCAATCTCCTCTCGGCAGCATGTGATAGCTTGCATTTTCTTCCTGATCGTGGCAGTGACACAACTGTTCCATGCACTTTATACTTGCGAATAATTGTCTGCACAGTTGCTCTTGGGACCTGTAGCAGTTTTGAAATGGCTCCAAGTGACTTCCCTGACTTGTTCAAGTCAATAATTCGCTTTTTCAGATCCACACTGAGTTCCTTTGACTTTCCCATTGTAGCTTTTGAGGCTGAGTCTAATCACAGGGTCAAATGAGCCCTATTTCAATGGGCTCAAGAACAGTAAACAACTGTAGTCAATCAGAATCACTTACAAGAAGTGAAGAGACCATGACATGAAGCTAATTTGATTGACAAAACTCTCTACATCACCAAAATTTACCATTTATGTTGCTGTATGTATATTTTTGATCTAGCAGATTTGGTGACATTTTCAGCAGACCCATAATAAATTTATGAAAGAACCAAACTTTATGACTGTTTTTTGTGCCAAACATGTATGTGTCTCGATCACTCTATCACAGAAAAGGAAAAGTTGTAGAACTTATTGGGAACTCAAGACAGCCATGACATTATGTTTTTTACAAGTGTATGTAAACTTTTGACAACAACAATACATACATACATAAATATATGTATGTATACATATATATGTTTATATACATATATAAATGTATTTATATACGTACAGATATATATATATAAACATTTTTCCGGACTATTCAGTGATTTATCATCCTCTCTCATCTCTCCTGCAGAACCAGGAAACCGACTTTCTTTCTTAACATTATATATTCACCAAATCTAAAGTTCTAGCTCCTAATCTCTGGTTTGATGCAATAACCCTTGAATATCTCATCCAAGAATGTTCAAGGTTTGTTGGTGGATGGCAGGAAGGATCTCCAGTGTTCAATCTTCCAGTGAATCTGAAGAAGACTGTGACTGAAAACAGTGTTGCTGTCTGACATTTTGATGACTCATGTAACGTGTCCCAAAAAGCAACCAAAAGAAAGAAAAACCAACATGAACAAAAACCGACAGGAAAAATAAACGACAGCCACGTCAACAGCGCATCCCCATCTGATACAGGAAGGAAGGTGAGGGGCTGCTGATTAGTGCGGCAGAGATCTCCATGGTCAACACTCTTTGTATGATGTCACAACTAGTCATGCTTGTGATGTCATCATCTCTGTTCTCTTATGTAGCAAACTTCCACCTTCTGCTCATTGCTAGCTACACGATGACCAGTTCAGACGTACGCAAAGCGCCAATAAAGTCGAGGTTGACATTGTTTGCAGATCGAGATATGCCGTATCAAAGGCCACAGCATCCCAAAGGAGGGTTCAGATCCCAGCCGAGGGCGTGGAGAGGTGGACAACAACAACAAGGATGGAGTGAGAACAGAGCGTCTCCCGCTGAGCTCCAGAGAGAACTCCAGAGACTTGGCTCTCTCTTGGAAATGGAGCGAGCCAAGTGGTTTCAAGAGAACCAAAAGGTGCTCATTCTGGAGAAAGAGCTGAAAGACACCAAAGCTGAGCTGGAAAAGCAGAGAAATCTCAAGAAGGTTTTTATCAACAGGGGCAAAGAAATGAAGAGAACACTGCTGGCAGTAGAGAAGTTTGCCGATTCTGAGACTCTCAACCCTGTCGCCATCGCTTCCACTCTCCATGGCGAAATAAGACACAAGAGGAAAAGGCTGCTGCAAGAGGACCTGGAGCAGCTGAAGGTGTCTTGCATTGTCAACGAGGAAGCGTTCACCTCAGAAATCAAGGCAGAAAAAGAAAGAGGTGACGCCCTCCACAAAGAGCTGGAAGAAATGAAGACGCGATACGAGGAGCTTAAATCAAAATATGAAGCCAACGATCGTGAGGAGAAGCTCCAGGTCGAATCTAAGATGTTTTACGAGGAGAAACTCGAGCAGAACGAAAAGCGCTTTGAAAAGCTGAGAGCCGAGAAGGAGGACCTGCAACGACAAATGTCCCAGGAGATAGACAACTTTAGAGAAACAGAGAGTCTTCTCCGAAGTGAACTGGAACAGACTAAAGATTCTCACCAGAAACTTATGGCTACATATGAAAGGGACGTTTCTGCTCTAAGAGAGCAGGCACAGATATTTAAGCAGTACGTCGATAAGGAGGTAAATGCTCTTTCCTACAAATTGATGAGGGACCTAAAGATTATTGATGAACTGGAGTCCGAGAAAGACCAGCTCCAAAAACAACTCATGGCATTCCGGCAGATGCACTCTATCAAGAAGGTGAGCTACAAAAGAAGGTTGGAAAATCTGGAGACGACGCTGCAAAACACCGAGGAAGTCGGACCTCCGATAAGAAAAGTGGCCAGACTTGACGACAGTGTGCCTGAAAACAACGTCACTGATGATATGGATCTGGACAGTCTCATAGAGGAGATGCTGTCAGAAGAAATGGAAGTACCTGATGCATCTCCAGAGGAGCTAAATGACTTTGTAGAGGAGATGCTGACAGATTCAGCCATTCTATATCAAAATCACATGGACGTCAGAAACTTCTTTATGTGAAAGAGGCGAGAAAACTGAAAGCTCAGATCCTGAGCCCGCGGAGGCGAGAGGCCCCTCAACAAGTCTGGAGAAGATGCTGCTCTATCTGGATCTCAGGAATCTGCAAAATGAGACAAATGCAAGGAGGCCACTAAAACAAGAAATTAGAACCCTTTCAAAAATGTCCAAATATTGCACAATAAAAACAGTAATATTCCACGTAGCTTAGCCACAGCCACACAGAAGAGATGTCTCAGTTTTTGACTGGGCGCCTCTTTCTATTTGTGGTTGTAGGTTGTTTCTTAGTGATTGTGGGTTTTCTCCGGGTGCTCCGGTTCCCCCACTAAAGTCTGGTAAATTGGCCAATATAAAGGATGTCTTAAAGAAAGGGCTCATTGGTTTCAAAAACTGTTAAATGGTTCATATTTGAGAAACATATGTGCCATTTAAAGACACTGCAGCTCATACCTGGAATTGTTTGCAGAACTGGAATTTCCAGATACAGTTGGAATCAAATTGAGCTTCTCTATGCATATTTTGTGAGGCGTCTACTCTTTGCAGAATCTACATACCCACTCTCCTAATTATCCCCTCCATGCTGAGTCTGGGCTGCTACCATCAAGCAGCTCAAATACAGAACAAATGATAGGAAAACACTTTTAGGCAGGATGTATAATAAATTCTAAATATAATATTTGGAGTTCATAATTACAGTCTATATATAAATATATCTATATATACATACATAAAAATATGTGTATATATACATTCATCTATAAATAAATGTATATATACAGATATAAATTAATATGTGTATATATACATATGTAAATGTATATATATATATATATATATATATATATATATATATATATATATATATATATATATATACATACATACATAAATCTGTGTATATATACATATTTATGTATATATACATACATATGTAAATATATGTATATATACATACATAAATAAATATGTGTATATATACATATATAAATATATGAATATATACATACACAAATGAATATGTGTATGTCTCGTTATGGTGACAAACAGAGCAATGAAGGAGACTTGAATTTGATGGATTTATAAGCGGGGCTTTTTAGGTGAAACATCCGTCATTATTGAAGTCACTTCAACAATATAGAGGGTCAGAAAGAATGAGGGCGAAGTTTAAAGAGGTCTTTGACAGAAACCAATAATGTCTGATAATACCTTTCAGAGTTTCTTCCTCTCGAAAGCTTTGAGTTGAGCGCGCGAGCCGAACGAGCAGCGTGACGTTTAGAGTTGACGCTTACGTTGGTTCCCGTTCCTCCGTATTCTGATAAAGTGCGTCTGTATCACGTTAATACCAGAGCAGGGGAACCTCCTCTGCAACATCACTTTCCAACTCGTCCAGTTTGAGTGACAGCCAGCGCGCGCGACCCCGCGCAGTGATAGAAATTCAGAGATGCGCGAGCACGAGCCGCGACATTGCTCTGTCGTCACAGCTGTGTTGCATTCTGGGAGCTGTCCAGTGCTGAAACGGGCTATACTGCCAGAACCCTCAAAATGGTGTTTGGTGTTTTCTTTTTTATGAACAAATGAAACACAAAATACACATTGAAATGTGACATATTTATTAAATGTAACAAGTTTGTACAAAATGAAATAAAATAAAGAAAGCTTAGCTTTTTTAATGCTCAATCTAAGGAGAAACATCATTTATTTTTTCATCCATTAACTTCAGCCAATTGTTCCCATCTTTTGTCTGCAGCATTGTAGAAATAGGAAACAATAAACATGACATTAAGAGCACATAGAAACATCATGAAAAAGTCCACAGTGCTTAGACTGTAATATAATACAATACTATAGTTTATTTCCAAAAGACAGAGATTTTAATACGAATTCCCTTACAGTATCACTTAATACAACTAAATATGTTTTAATTATGTAACAGAGAAAATAGATGATTATATATTTCACACTTTCACAGCATTTTGGATCAGAGACATATATTAGTTATATTTAAAAGTACCAAAATAGATAAGCATGTACACAAACATCTAAGTTTGCATGGTGTGCTAAAAGGCAGATTCACCTTCCAGAGTTGCCCCTGATTTGATTTCAGAATAAACTGATTCATCTGTTGCTGCAGGTTTTTCTGTGAATGAAGATAATTAGCATTAATAATAACAAAATCAACAAGCAGGAATTTAATTCCCAGTGTTATGCTGATCCTAACACTGTCCACACACAAAGCTTACGCCATTAGTTAAAAAGTATTGCATATAGAGGAAAATCTGCAAAGTCATACATCCAAAATGCTAAAAAGGATTACTAGAACTGGGAATTATGGTGAAAATATCTCATCAATTTACAATCTAAAATGATTTTATTAAATATGTTGCATATGAGAAACTGAGTGCAAACTGAGTGTTACCTCTCCTGTTTCGCTTGGCTCTGTTCTTATTGATTTCAGCGTACGTTGGAGCGAGTTCTGAAACAGGAAACTCATTTAATCAAACACAGGAATGGTTTACACTATATTGTGTACCAAAAAACCACAGTAAATTTATGTCCGATTCTGAAAAGCTGAAACCAAATTCAAGAGAGACAGTTTGTTTTTCCATTTCAATAACAGACTGCATTTGACAAAGGAAACATCCAACACTGTGTCATCTTGAGGAAGCTAAAACTTCACAAAGGGGAAGGAAAATTTTCTTTTCACAAATTTGCAGCTGTGTGGCTACATGGGGAGGGGTAATATATTTAAAAACACTTGCTACACTGCAAAATTAACATGCAACAAATGTTTTAATGAAACACACAATCTGTAAAAGTGTTCAGTCCCTCTGTTTCTGCTGATGTCAAGAGAGAGTTTGCAGTCAATGTTACAGATAGATATGTTCATTATTTTTGATGATGATGAAGTCATAATAAACAAATCATTTCAAGAATCATTTCCTGCATACTAAACTGCAAAAGAAATTTGGTCAACAGGAAGATTTGAAGCTGCAAAAACAATAACATAAATGTATTAGTATTAGTAATGTCTGCTCATTTATATTTAAGACATTTGCAGCTTTTGTAATGTCACTTTTTTTTTTCTTTTGCTATTTAAGACATAAAAATACTGAGGGTTTTTTTCCCTTCTCCTGACTGATGCCTTTGCAGTTTATCATAACTCTGTGATCAGACAGTAAACATTAGGATCTCTTGGAAAATATTAGAAGTGCTGCACAGTATTTTAGATTAATCAGAATCAAAATGAGCCAAACAGCACTCAGCATTTTTATTGCTATTGTCCTATAGTTTGTATGTAATTGAAGATTAATTTATGATTCTGGTAAATTATACTAGATATGTTAGATTAAAAAAAAAAATATATATATATATATATATATATATATATATATATATATACATACATACATACATACATACATACATACATACATATATATATATATATATATATATATATATATATATATATACATATATAGCTATATATTTGATTCTTTCTCTTTTGACATTTTTACATATACTTGTAGAATTATGTTAGATGATCTGAACCTGCAGGGTATTGACACGAAGACACATTTTGATATAAAGTCCGACTGACTTTACCTGCAGCACTTGTGTTCACTTCTGCGTAAATAACGGGCTCCTCAGGTTTACGGGGTTTTCCTGTTGAGATCGACAAAACAAAGACACACAGTTAGAAATCATTCAGTTGTCATCTTGTGCCGTAGAAGGTTTGTAATTTTGAACTCACTCTTTTTTCGGAGCTTTTTGAACTTAATGGCGGTGTACGTTACTTCACTGGGTTCAGCTGCAGCAAAAAATGTTTCACAATTTTAGATCGGCTTGTTTTCTTAAGCGCTCCAGTTGTGTGTTCATCTGCTTTAAACAGAAATACTTCACCAGCTGCAGTGGCTTCACAGACAGATCCACAGAGAGCAGCACCAGGTTAATAGTTATGTAATAACCAGTTACAAAGAACAGCTGGTTTTTAAAAACTTTGAGACAAAAGTGTTTTAAAGTGCATCCAACATTAATGAAATGCTGTAAATATTTATGTAAATGTAATTTCTTAGTTTCCTATTTTTAATACATTTGGAAAAATCTAACATTTTCCACATTATTATTGTTGGGTATTTGTGTGGAGAATTTTGAGGAAAGAGATTAATAAAATTTTCACAGCACAAGGCTGCGATATAAAAGGCCGACAAAGTGCATAGATGTGAATACTTATCGGATGCTCTGTAATTGGTTGTATGTTTTGGGATTTTCATTTATTTTCTTTGAACAGTAGTCTAATAGGCCATCAGCATTAAAGTCATACAGTTAGAAAGTGAAATTATTCAAGACAAAAATATCTTGCGTTTTTATCTGAAATCATTTTTTATATATTTCAACTGAATCTCACATTTCATTCTTGATAAGTTTATTGTGTCATAACAGATCAGTTTTATGGTGGCTTATTTTAATTACGAACATAAACATGCAAATATTAAACATACTGAATAAATATGTGAGTTGATGACAAAAATAAAAAGATGTAAACGCATCATGAGAAGAATATGATTAAATTCTGACCTGGAGTAGCAGAGCTACTGACACTGAACTCATTCTCCGCTCCTTGATTGATGGTCGACCTCTGACTGTTTTTTTCTGATCTAAAACACAAATAGATAAAAGTTACAGCAAACAAGTACAGAGATCTGTGTTCTTTATCAAGGAAAGGAAAGTAATGACTGACCTGAAAGAGCATAAATCTGTGGAAAAGACATTTCTTGTTACTTATTCTGTGGTTCAAATCATTCGTCACATAGAACAGAATAAATGTGTGCCTTTGATTAAAGGGTTTAAATAAACAATGTGATCGAACCTTTGTGCTGCTTGTAGCGCCACAATAAGAGCAGGAAAATAATCAGAATGATTCCACTAATGGGTCCAATGATCAGCAGTAAAGGAGACGAGGAGGGAACAGGACTGGACACAGTTCCTGAAAATATTAAATATTGAAAGGAAACAAAGGTATAATATCACATCCACATTGACATATTCATTTCTCACCTTGAGCTCCAACAACTACATAAAGCTATATTACAAATATATTAATCCTCCTCACCTCTAATAGACATCCAGCTGTTTAGTGACTTTTTTCCTGAATGTTGACATTTGTAGAAACCTTCATCTGACTTTGACACTGCAGAGATCTTCAGCTCCTCTCTGCTGTCATTATTGATGAGTTTATCATTATGATAGTAAAACACATTGGAGAGAAATTGTGTTTCATTTCTGCAGCTCAGAGTCACGGGATCTCCCTCAGTCACAGGATGAACAGGGCTCACCAGGATAACACCATCATCATAATCATCTGTAAAATAGACAGAATATCAACTACTGACAAGCAATCAACTGTTGACAACCTTTTGAAAAAGCTGCTTCAGTTATTTATGTAGATTCTCTATTTTTGAGTGTTAAACCAAGCCAATGGAAAACACAATCAGTCTCTATTTTTTCATAAATTTTTTGATAAATAATTTCAAATCATTTCAAGAATCATTTTCTGCATACTAAACTGCAAAAGAAAATCAGTCAAAAGGAAGATTAGAAGCTGCAAAAACAACAACAGAAATGTATTAGTATTAGTAATATCTGCTCATTTATATTGAAGAAATTTGCAGCTTTTGTAATGTCACTTTTTTTTCTCTTCGTATTTAAGACATGGAGCTAAGGCGTGAATTCAAGCTGGGAGACAGAACACAGCTGATCTACAACACAGCTGATCCACTTCAATCACGTCACACCCCGCTGCGGCCAATCAGGATCGGCGTCCTTGCGCGTCCCAGCCAATCAACGTCAAGCCTTGTCCATTCAAGAAGTCGAGCCTCCGGGCGCCCACCTTCTCCCCATCTCCACCTTCAACCCGATGACCATTCTCCAGGCGCTTTACGCGCTCCTCCATCCAAGGCTCTGCTCCATCACCAGTATTCGGACCGGGGGGTAAGACTAGTGAGCTTCGCCGGACTCAGCATCTTCCCCCGGCGATCTACGCTCACTAGTCTTCTGCCGGTTCGAGCGCCAAGGATTTGTTCATTAAAATCTTCTAACTGCTTATTTTTCTCTGTGAGTTGATCCAGATTGAAATAAAATACTGAGTGTCTGCTCTCTGTGGATCAGTCAAGCCTTCTGAAGCCACTGCAGCTGGTGAAGTATAATTTACCAGAATCATAAATTCATCTGCAATTACATACAAACTATAGGACAACAGCAATAAAAATGCTGAGCGCTGTTTGGCTCATTTTGATTCTGATTAATCCAAAATACTGTGCAGCACTTCTAATATTACATAGTAATTATTATTTTTGAATTATTATTGATGGCAAAAAATTTTACACATCAACCTAAAAATATTTTAGATGAAAATACATATTAAACAAAATAAAAAAAACTGCAATGAGACTCCATTTCACAAAGACAAGAAACATGAGAGATTATATAACATTTTTCAATGGATTGTTAATATGCGGTTGTAAATTTTCAAAGTTCTAATATTATAATATTTTGTACAATAATATTAAAGTTAGCATATTTTAATATAAAACATACTGTACATCTGTAACATTCTTATTTTCAAGCACTTCTGGATGGACTCAAACTGCATTTCTTTGCTTTGTACTTGTGACGTGAAATGACAAAGTTGACTTTTATTCTATTCTAATCATTTGATTATTAGTAATTTTGATCCACGTTCTACACCTATGGAGTTATCTGTTATTTTTCCTAAAATGTACTTGGATCACACGATTATAAAACAGAACAGGCAAAGGAAGAAGGTCAGCTGCTCAGTTTTAAAGGACAAAAAATGTTAACACCCTTCAGCTCCATCTGTCAAATACTGAATTTTGCTTAATTCATTTATAAAATTTACCTGAAGAGAAAAGAATGTAGGAAACACAAGATTCCTGTAGACATATGTCTACAGGAACTCTAGTCATTCTGAATAATAAAAAGTAAACAAAAATACCTTTTTAAAAATTCATAACCTGCCTTGTACAGTGATGTTGACTGCATTGCTGAATTCTCCTGATCCAGACTCACACCAGTAAACTCCACTGTGATCCTCCAGTCTCTTAATGGTACATGAGGATCCAGACATCATCCCCCAGTGGAAGCACTGAACATATGATGGACTGGTTGATTCTGTAAACCTCTTCACTCTCCACTTGGTGTTGTTCCCACTGCAGTTCAGTGTGACAGACTGATCAATGAAATGTTGAACTCTGTCAGGACTCACTGAGAGAAAAGCTGCTGGATGAGAGTCTGAAAAAAACACATAAAAGTATAAAATTTCTCCAGGCAGTTGTGTTGAGAAAATGTAAAAAAACAATGTTCATTGAGCTGTGATTGTAAAATAATCTGTAAAATGATAAGTGGTTTACAGACAATATAGGGAAGTAAAACCAAAGAAACCAAAAACAACAACAAAAAAGAAAGAAAGAAGATATGAGTAACATGAAATAAATGTTGATCTTATTGAAGTTGTTGATATAATTTTTTAAAAAATAAGAAAAGAGTCCATAATGTCAGACTTTCAGAGCATTGAGGTAAAAAAACTAATGGCCACAGCGATAATCTGCCAATTTGTTTCTTACTTCCAAGTTGTATTGACATATACCCTTTAACTAAGTCTTATAACAATTTTAGTAGCACAGACTACATTAAGCCATTTAGGTGTCCCGTTTTAGTTGTTTTCTGTCTAATTTATAGTTTATTTACTTTCTGTTACCTCTGTTTGTTTATTTTTTTAGTCATCTACTTTCTATTCAAGTACTTATGGAAATGATTGGTGGGTTCTGTCTATGTGCTTTGTTTTATTCTTGGTTCTTGTCTCATCATGTATTAGTTTATGCTTACTCTCCAAAGTACTGTCTCAAGTGTGACCTGAATGTCTATGCATGTTGCACATTGTTATGTGGAAAATCTAAAAAAAAAAAAAAAAAAAAAAAAAAGAAATGGTCAAAAACGACTCCAAGCTTTTGACCTTTAAATGTTAAAAGGGAAGGAAATTTCAAAACCTTAGAATCTTCTATCAAATATTTCTGCAAATAATTCATAGTTAATCAAACATCTAAATAGCATTTAAATGATATGATTTACAAATGTAGGTTACAGTGGTAAATACATCAATGAATATTTAAAACGTAAAAACATCACACAATATTTTTATTTTGTAAAACACTACTAAAACTCTAAGTACACATAACAACCAAAACGACTGAAAATGAAACAACGTATTAATAAAAGTTCAGCAGGTAACTGGCTGCTCTGTCAGCTCCTTCTTCAAGTTATTGCAGCTGACCATGTACCACAGCTCCCCCTAGCGGTTCCAGACGGAAACATTCTCCTTATAGCTTCTGATCCCATAAACACTTTACTGTATTCTGGTTGTAGTTCTCTTCATCACTGACTTTCAGCAGAAAGCTAAATAATTTTGTCATGTTGGGGTTAGGGTTAGTTAAAAGCTAATTATTTGCCTACGATGTGCAAAACTTTGAAAAGAGTGAAATGACTGAGGATCACATCCATCATTATTTCATAGCTTCACAACACATTATTTTGTTATTGTTGTCGAAATTGTCTCAGCTTTTCATTTATCTTCTCTAAACTAACAGAGTGGTGTGTTGATCACTATTAATAAAAAAAAACAGGAGAAACACAATACAATATTCACAACGTTAATTAGAAACCTGAGCTCATCAAAAATACAAACTGTGGAATAAAAATCCAAAATGAAAGAACAGAATCAAACTGACCTGCAGACCAGATAAACTTTACTTCACTGTAATTAGTGTAAAACTTTGGTTCTCCTCTTCCTGCTCTGCACTGATATCCTGCTGTTTGAGTCGGTCCATTAATGATGAAGGAGTTCTGCTCAGTCCTATTGATGGTGTTAGGCAGCAGCTCAATGCTGTAGGAAGTGCTGATTGGGATTGGAACAACTTTATACCAGAAGAACCTCCATCCTGCTGATTGAAGCTCCAAACCCTCACAGCTCAGAGTCACTGAGGCTCCAGGATTCGGCCATGATGGAGACACAGAGAGGACAGGCTGAGGTTTGGGAGCTGGAGAGAGAGGAGGTATAAACACATATAGAATTATTTTATTACATATTAAAATTTGCTAGTAAAATCCATGTAAACATTATTCATACATGGGTGAACTCACAGGACACTGTTAATGTGATGACTCCCCACTTTGTTATGGTGAAACCGTCTCTTCTTCCTCTACATTTATAATCTCCACTGCTATCAGCAGTGATCATGGATTTGCTGGATGTTGGAGAGTTTCTATTGGTTGTAATCCATTCATACGTCCACTGAGTTCCTCCATCATCCTGGATCTCACATCTCAGTGATTTCCTCTCCTCTGTAGATCTGAGACCAGTTGGGTTGTTGGATCACAGTTGGTGTGATGGGAACTGTTCACATGAGTAACAGAGAGGAGATATTTCCAAACACCAAATAAAGAGACACATACACATTATTTACTAATGTCTGAAACCAAATCTCTTGTTTTAAGTTAGTTAGAATTAACTAAATTATTTATATTTGCTAAATGCCAGAAACTTAGTGAAAATATCTTTTTAAGGATTTTTTTTTTTGTAGCTTTTGACATGCCAATCATTTCAAACAAGGAAACAGTGAGTTTCAGGTCTGCCTTCAATTAACTCAAATGTTAATTGAAGGCTAATTAATTGATAGTTAACCTATCAAAAGTTGAGGAAGGAAACCCAAAAGATTTGACTCAAGTCAGACAGTTTAAAAGACAAAAAAGGTAAATACATTTCTTAATTCAAAGAAAGAAAATAAAAAAAAAATCTCACATGTGCTCACTAGGTTTTTTTTAATCTCATTTAGCAAATAGAAATAATTTTGGTCGTTCTGGTTGAACTAAAATAAGAAAATGTTGTTTGATTTACTTCATACACTGAGAAAACAATTTTAATAACTTTTGATCCAGTGTATGTGAATATCTGTCTAATAACTCTCATTATAACTAACAAAAAAAATGATCACTGGTAAAGAACAATAAAGCAAAACAAAGCAGTATTAGACATATAATATGCACTTCCTATAAATTACTGGCTTACAGCCAGAATGTTGCACTGTTTGCATCATATCATCACATTTGTGACAGTTTTTCCATCAAACAGACATAAATTGCTGCAGTAAATCCTCTGTCAATATCAACATAGAAATTGATTGTCTGGTTTAAATATCAACATGAACAGGAGCAAATTTTCTGCTTTCAGGCTTCATTAGATGGAGTTACAGATGATGATCGTTGCACTGGAGTCATAATACTTTTAACACCACTGATGAACAAAGAAGCACTAAAGATGTTTCATTTCACAATAAAGACAAGTTTACCTCTTTTCTCAATAGTGACCTTTCCGCTGGTTTCAGTGTAGAAAACTGGATCTCCTCTTCCTCCTCTGCAGCCGTACTCTCCTCCCTCTGAGATGACGAGGACTCCGTCTGATTCACTGGTTCTGATGGACTGAGCTGCAGAAGAATCTGACTCCAGTTTGAACCAGTCAAACTTCCAGCCAACTCCAATGTCAATAAGGCAGGTCAGTGTTACACTGCCCCCTGCTGGTATGATGTTATTACTTGCTGTTAGTGAAGCTTTGGGATGATTTGCTGGTTGAAACAGAAAACAAGACAAGCTTTAGAAAGTGGCTTGTTTGAGGAAACAATCTGTTCAGATCAACTTTAACTTCTGAGTCACTTATGCTGTTTGATGTTTTATGCTTCCAGGCAAAGTTATTGTTGAAAATTTGAATTCATTCCTAATCAATTTACCTGATTAAAAAGAAATATTTTAAACTAATCTTTCAAAAACCAGTATTTGGAAGTGTGACTAGAATCAACTGAACTTGTTGAGTATAGCTTAGTACCACATTAAATGCTTTACTGTGAACTGCAGAGTGACTCTGTAGTGTTTACTTCAGTGACATGAAGCTGTTTTTATTTATCTAATAGAAAGTCTCTTGCTTTTGTTTTGCTTGTAGTCAGAAATAACAGAAAACCTGGTTTATTATTAAATCCAAAAAATATAAAGTTTCTAAATCAGACTCACGTTTCACTGTCAGTGTGACGCCATCGCTCCATTCTGTTTGTTGATGATCTCCTGTAGCCATACAGCTGTAAACTCCACTGTGATATTCAGAGACTTTATTGATGCTGTATTCACTGGATCTTATTTGAATGTTTCTATTGTTTGTTCTCCATTCATATGTCCACTGAGTTCTTCCTCCTTCCTTGATCTCACATCTCAGAGTGACTTTCTCTCCTCTATATACAACAGACCCACTGGGTTGAAGGATCACAGTCGGCTTGAAAACTATTCAAGAAAAACAAAACAGTTTTCAACATGAAAACAGTCAGAAATATCCTGATATTATCTCTAATGTTCACCTGTATGACACCCACATCAACAATGTTTAAGCAAACATTTTCTGGCTGGATATTGGATAAATCAAAAGTACAATTTTATAGAAACTATTTTAATTTCTGAGCTCATAAATTCAGAAAAAAAGAGTTTTTTAAATGTATTTTAACAAACGCATTAATTGTGTTTTCTAACTCAAAGTCCAGTCGGCTTGGAAACTATTCAACAAAAACAAAACAGTTTTCAACATAAAAACAGACAGAAATATTTTTGGGTTGTTTGCATGTGTGATATGCAGGTAAAGACAGGAAATAAAATAAAATAATATAAAATATAATAAAATAAATAAAACAAAATAAAATAAAATACTATAAAATGAAATAAAATAAATTAAACAGCTAACTGAATGTTTTCTATTGCTTCAGATGACAAAATCTCAAAAATTTACACTTATTTTTCCCACAGCATCTTTTTCCAAACTAACTTTGCACTAAAACACTAATTTATCTTAGCTGAAGTACATCTGGATTAAAATCAAGTAACACAAAGACGAGCACATGAACTCTAAGTTACTTCAAAGTCCAGTTGATCAAACCTTCAGTATTATAAATGGAATATGCAGCAAAAAGGGTTTAAACATGAAATTGAAGATACTGAAGATGATTTAAAACTCAAAATGTCTCAATTAAAATTTACAACAGTTTCATTTTAAGGCATCTTCAAATGGAGTTTCAGTCATATAAAAACTGCTTTACTGAAGCTTTTTCTCATCATTGGGATTACAATATGGCTTCTAAAAAAGCATCTGATAAACAAATGCTAGATTTAAAGAAAGATTGTTATTTCATTACAGAAAAAGAACAAAGCTCACCGGTTTTTAGAACAGAGACTTTTTTGCTTTCTTCCGTTTGATAAACTGGATTTCCTCTTCCTCCTCTGCAGCTGTAGACACCTCCCTCTGAGACACTGACGTCACTTTGTTGTTCATTGGTTCCTCTGAGCTGAACTGGTTCTTCATCTCTGAACCAATCAAACTTCCAGCCAGTAGATCCAGCCACAGAGCAGGTCAGTGTTGTGCTGCCCCCTGCTGGTATGGTTGTTGGGTCTGCTGTCAGTGTGGCTCTGGGTTTATATGCTGTTGGATTCAAAGCAGAAAAATCAATCAAGCCATGTTCTAGGATTGTGAGAATGAGGATGTTTCTGTCAGACTTACATTTCACTGTCAGTGGAAAGGGAAAACTCCAGCCTGAGTTCTGATCTTCTTTACTAGCCATACAATAGTATCTCCCACTGTCAGACTCAGAGACGCTGTTGATCCTGTATTCATTGGATGTTGGAGAGTTTCTATTGTCTGGACTCCATTCATACGTCCACTGAGTTCCTTCATCGTCCTCCATCTCACATCTCAGAGTGACCGTCTCTCCTGTGAATACGACAGGCCAGCTGGGATGCTGCTTCACAGTCGGCGCAGACACTAAAATGTATAATATTCAATCAGAAGACAGAAAATTATATTGAGAAAAAAAAAACTGAAAATGCTGAATTCTTATAGCTTATGATTATAAGCCTCATTAAATGATATGAAAATAAAACATTTTATATTTACTGACAAAGAAAAAAAGACATGTTATGTTTTAAGGTGAACCATAAACTGAGCTCAACAAACAGTAATAAAACTTGACCAGCAAACAGATAGATATTCTAAAATAGCTTTTTTTGTTTTATTTCAGAATAGAACTGAACTCACCAATTTTCTGAATGTTGCTTGTTTCTGTATGAAAAACTGGATTTCCTCTACCTCCTCTGCAGCGGTAGAGACCTCCCTCTGAGACAGAGATAACTCTGAATGGATCTTTGTTTCCTCTGAACCGGGTTGCAAAATATTGTCGATCATTTCTGAACCAATCAAACTTCCAGTCATCAGATTCGTCCACAGAACAGGTCAGTGTTATGCTGCCCCCTGCTGGTATGATTGTTCTGTGTGCTGTCAGTGTGGCTCTGGGTTTATCTGCTGCGGTTTTTAAATAAACAAGAAAGAAAAGAAAATCATATTAGTGACCAATCTTTGGTTGGTGGTTTCTCTGTTTTGCTTTTGGTGATAATTTATTATTAACATGTTCAAAGCTTATTAGGAAAGATTACATTATTGCCAGACAAGGGAAAATACGTCCGTTGCATAAAAGAAAGTCACAAAACATTGCAAACATATACAATACAGTCTTGAAACAAAAAATATGACAGGAGAAACAGCAATGCATTTGGATTCACAAGGTCCAGTTTCTGAATCAGTCATGTGATTCGGTCCGATTGTGAGTCTTCAAACGTCACCAACTGTTTCTACACCACAAGCCTCAATACAATAACACTCATTGATTACTCAATACACACTCTTTGATGCCTGGACACAGAGGCCACATCACTAAATCATATAAGAACTTCAGGAGAAACTAAACTATTTTAACACTAAACTGTCTCAAAATGTTGAGTATAGCTTAGTACCACATTAAAGGCTTAACATTGAACTGCAGAGTGACTCTGTAGTGTTTACTTCAGTGAAATGAAGCTGTTTTGATTTATCTAATAGAAAGTCTCTTGCTTTTATTTTGCTTGTAGTCAGAAATAACAGAAAGCATGGTTTTATATTAAATCCAAACAATATAGTTTCTAAATCAGACTCACATTTCACTGTCAGTGTGACGCCATCGCTCCATTCTGTTTGTTGATGATCTCCTGTAGCCATACAGCTGTAAACTCCACTGTAATATATAGAAACTTCATTGATGCTGTATTCACTGGATCTTCTCTGAATGTTTCTATTGTTTTTTCTCCATTCATATGTCCACTGAGTTCTTCCTCCTTCCTTGATCTCACATCTCAGAGTGACTTTCTCTCCTCTATATACAACAGACCCACCGGGTTGTCGGATCACAGTCGGCTTGGAAACTATTCAACAACAACAAAACAGTTTTCAACATGAAAACAGTCAGAAATATCCTGATATTATCTCTAATGTTCACCTGTATGACACCCACATCAACAATGTTTAAGCAAACATTTTCTGGCTGGATATTGAATAAATTAAAAGTACAATTTTATAGAAACTATTTTAATTTCTGAGCTCATAAACTCAGAAAAAAAAGATTTTTTTAAATGTATTTTAACAAACGCATTAATTGTGTTTTCTAACTCAAAGTCCAGTCGGCTTGGAAACTATTCAACAAAAACAAAACAGTTTTCAACATAAAAACAGACAGAAATATTTTTTGGGTTGTTTGCATGTGTGATATGCAGGTAAACAGGAAATAAAATAAAATAATATAAAATATAATAAAATAAATAAAACAAAATAAAATAAAATACTATAAAATGAAATAAAATAAATTAAACAGCTAACTGAATGTTTTCTGTTGCTTCAGATGACAAAATCTCAAAAATTTACACTTATTTTTCCCACAGCATCTTTTTCCAAACTAACTTTGCACTAAAACACTAATTTATCTTAGCTGAAGTACATCTGGATTAAAATCAACTAACACAAAGACGAGCACATGAACTCTAAGTTACTTCAAAGTCCAGTTGATCAAACCTTCAGTATTATAAATGGAAAGATGCAGCAAAAAGGGTTTAAACATGAAACTGAAGATACTGAAGATGATTTAAAACTCAAAATGTCTCAATTAAAATTTACAACAGTTTCATTTTAAGGCATCTTCAAATGGAGTTTCAGTCATATAAAAACTGCTTTACTGAAGCTTTTTCTCATCATTGGGATTACAATATGGCTTCTAAAAAAGCATCTGATAAACAAATGCTAGATTTAAAGAAAGATTGTTATTTCATTACAGAAAAAGAACAAAGCTCACCGGTTTTTAGAACAGAGACTTCTTCGCTTTCTTTAGTTTGATAAACTGAATTTCCTCTTCCTCCTCTGCAGCTGTAGACACCTCCATCTGAGATACTGACGTCACTTTGTTGTTCATTGGTTCCTCTGAGCTGAACTGGTCGATCATCTCTGAACCAATCAAACTTCCAGTCATCAGATTCGTCCACAGAGCAGGTCAGTGTTATTCTGCCCCCTGCTGGTATGGTAGTTGGGTCTGCTGTCAGTGTGGCTCTGGGTTTATCTGCTGTTGGATTCAAAGCAGAAAAATCAATCAAGCCATGTTCTAGGATTGTGAGAATGAGGATGTTTCTGTCAGACTTACATTTCACTGTCAGTTCAAAGGAAAACTCCAGCCTGAGTTCTGATCTCCTTTACTAGCCCTGCAATAGTAACTCCCACTGTCAGACTCAGAGACGCTGTTGATCCTGTATTCATTGGATGTTGGAGAGTTTCTATTGGCTGGATTCCATTCATACGTCCACTGAGTTCCTTCATCGTCCTCCATCTCACATCTCAGAGTGACCGTCTCTCCTCTGAATACGACAGGCCAGCTGGGATGCTGCTTCACAGTCGGCGCAGACACTAAAATGTATAATATTCAATCAGAAGACAGAAAATTATATTGAGAAAAAAACTGATAATGCTGAATTCTTATAGCTTATGATTATCAGCCTCATTAAATGATATGCAAATAAACATTTTATATTTACTGACAAAGAAAAAAGACATGTTATGTTTTAAGGTGAACCACAACTGAGCTCAACAAACAGTAATAAAACTTGACCAGTAAACAGATAAATATTTTAAAGCAGCTTTTTTGTTTTATTTCAGAATAGAACTGAACTCACCAATTTCTGAATGTTGCTTTTTTCTGTATGAAAAACTGGATCTCCTCTTCCTCCTCTGCAGCTGTAGACACCTCCCTCTGAGACACTGACGTCACTTTGTTGTTCATTGGTTCCACTGAGCTGAACTGGTTCATCATCTCTGAACCAATCAAACTTCCAGTCATCAGATCCGTCCACAGAGCAGGTCAGTGTTATGCTGCCCCCTGCTGGTATGATTGTTGGGTCGGCTGTCAGTGTGGCTTTGGGTTTATCTGCTGTTGGATTCAAAGCAGAAAAATCAATCAAACCATCAGAACATGACCTGGTTCTGGTTCAGTTTTCTTGGTTAAGTTGTGTAGATTTGTATTCTAACTCACTTGACACTGTCAGTCTGAGGGCTTCACTCCATTCTGTTTTATTATCATCTGTGTCAGCTCTGCAGCTGTAATCTCCACTGACAGCTGGAATAATCCTCCATTCATTTGTCATTGGAGAGTTTTCATTGGCTGGTCTCCATTCGTACGTCCACTCAGCTCCTCTGCCTCCCTGGATCTCACATCTCAGAGTAACTTGTTCATCTTTGTATATCTGGGTCCATTTGGGATGTTGGATCACACTGGGTTTAATGGAAACTGTTCATACAAACATTACTTACTTTAAGTGTGATAATAAAAATAAAATTGAACAAAACAAACAAGAAAATGTTTTTATTATTACAATGTCTAAAATTCAACAACTTTTCAATTTGATGCTGATCAATAATACTATTTTAATACTGGTCTCTGGGATCAGGGCCCTGCAGGTTTTGCTACCAGCAATATTTCTACACTTTTGCTTTTGCAGACAATCACTGGTCCAAGCTTGAAACAGTGATGAACAGGAAACAGGGTCAACAGCTGCAAGGCTCTTTTGAGGCTGTAGGAGGAAAGTCCTGCTGGTTCTGATGAACCAAACCAAAACTTCAACGCACACTCTCTGGCACTAACAAACCGAAGCAACTTAAGTAATTCCAGCTGACCTAAAACAAGAGAAGTTTGATCTGATTTAACTTGAGACAATGACGACAAAATGCATCTGTCTATTCAGTGTATGTTATCTTCTGCTCTCATCTGTGCAGATTTGACACTTCAGCCTTTGCAGACTCTTTAGATTTTATCAACCAGTTTCTGCTCTAGCAGTATGAGTCAGATCAACTCTGGCCGCAGGATTTCAAGACAAAGAAAGTGGAGAAATTAAGCTTGTGACTGTTTTCTCAAAAAGTACATAGAAGTATGGACTTTATGTAATAAAATAATTAAGATGGTGACAGCAATTAAATCACTGAGCTTAATTTGCCAATCCTCCTGCAGCTAAAGCAGTAAAATATGTGAATAAAGGCTCTCGGATTGAAACTTGTCCAAATTAATACAAAACCCAGAGAGAAATACACAAGTGTAAATAAGTTGACAAACGCCAGGTTGTAAAATGTTCTGGAATTACATAATTAATATGCCAATTGGTCATGACATAGTAGATAAATATGTGAATCAATTTATTCTATAGGTAGAATAAATAAATTCTACCTCCTTCTATCATAGAAATAAATAAACACAATGAATTTAGAACTGCTTCTTGTTCAGTGTAAACTTGTCGGGACTGAAAACATGAGTCAGATATTATGTTACATGGCTGATATATAAACTGTTATCATGATTCATGGTAAGAAACATAAAGAACATGTTTCTTACCTTCAGCACATCCACAGCAGAGGGACCACAACACTGCAATGAATGAGAATTGATCATTACAAACATTGATTGTTTTTTGTTTTTTAAGGTGACATGAAACATTTGCCGAAAAACATAAAACCAATATTGATCTTGATTGTTTTCCACTCACATCTGATGAGAATATGACATTTAAAATGAGAATATTACATGGACTAGGGGTCGGACACCCACGGCTCTTCAGCGCCGCCCTGTTGGTTCTCTGGAGCTTTTTCAAAAAATGGTTGAAATTTGAAAAAGATGGGGGTGGGAAATATATTTTTTGTTTTAATATGGTTTCTGACACAATCACTCTTAATATTTCCCAATGCTATAAATATGTGCAGAATAAATGTTAAATTTCAACATTTCTGTCAACGACGATTTGCGTCGAAGCCTGTGATGTTTCTTTCAGCTGGCTGGGCGCGAGGCAGTAAACAAGCTGACGGGTGAGTGGTGGTGGGAGAGCAGAGGGAAACGAGGAAAATAGCCGATTCTACAATTCTTGGACAGAATCCTTTGCATTTATTGCCAGTCCAGAAAGATTACCTGAATGGTTGCACTATAGTGAGAAGTTATCAAATAACAAAAAGAGTACCGTACTTTCCAGACTACAGAGCGCACCTTACTATAAGTGTTTACAAATATAAACACTTACAGCTTAAACATCATAAATCTCACATAAAGCTTTTAATTTTTTGCGCCTACAGACGGATTTCTTGTTTTTTTGCTCCAAAATGCCTCTTTCAACATGCTGGGTTGCCGACCCCTGACACAGACCAACGAAAAACCATTAACTAGAGAAATGTGGGCAACATGAAAACGACATTCAATACCTGCCTAAATGTTATTTTTGAAAGGTAGGCTCTGACAAACAATCCTCGTGGGAATACAGACGTATTTTAATTTATTGAATAGGACAGCAATAAGAAGGTCGACACCAAAAACCAGCTTTTCACATTTGATCTCTCCGCAGTTACTCTGCTGCTGCAACAAATCATCCAGGCGACCGACTGCCATGTGACACGAACACGATTTGATCATTTTCAAGTCTTCTTACGATTCTGAAATGTTTCACAGTTTGTTCTCGACTAACTTCGTAATTATAAAAAAGATAGTCTTAAAATAGCAAAGAGCTGCTTTCCCCACTCTGCACAATAATTGTATCAAAACAGTGAATTGACATCCAGTAATTTACTTACAAAAGAAGCCCAGTCTGCAGAGTAAAGTTTCCCCCATCTTCACTTCCAGACCTGCTGCACAGCTGAGTGGAGCAGCTGCACTTTGCTCTCGCTAAAGTAGTTAAAACAAAAGGAGAAGTCGCATTTAAGGCACTAAAAAAAATTAATTCTCTAAAGTGCCTGTGTTTCCTTCCCTTTACTCATACATACTCATAAAGTACGCAGGCGCAGCTTTGACCACAGTGATGTGTTAGAATCAGGTTTCCTGTCCAATGCAGCAACGGTTGAATGTGTTTCTAATATAGATTGTTAAAGGGTGGGCCATCTGCACAGACATTTTTTAACACAAATGTCTTTGACCACAAACTCTTTCCACTGCTTGAACACCCCCACACACAGAGGTTTAGTCTAAAGAAGGGTCAAAGGTCTGTTCTGATGTCATTGTTAGTAATTGGTTTGAGTAGATTCACTACGGATGTGGTGGAAATCTGGTTTTGAACAGGAAAGCCCCAACTGAGTGGGCAAACATACAGAAAACATGAGAATGACAAAGCAAAATCACTATTTAAATGTGCAACTATAACATAATGCTCTATATGAAAATATTTGGTAATGGTATTTCTTTTAAATGTAATGTGGGAAAAGTCGAGGGAAAGCATGTGAGGGCGAATGGGAAAGAGGTTACTGTAATATCTTGTGCCGTTTGCTGGTTTTGTTGAGGACGTTACTTTAAACTGTGAACTCGACGTCGGTGATGTGGCTCCTGGGCTCCCAGTGACTGCAAGACGTCTGGATAACTGCAGACGCTTCCAGGTGTAATTGTGTACAACTGAAAACAGTGACTATAGCTCCACCCACATGGTAAATTTTTTCAAAACTCCCACTCGGAAACACTGAAAAAATAAATTCTCCATCAGACCTATGAATGGCACATCGGTGGTTCCCAAAGTCGGCCCTCAGGGTCCGCTCTCTGACATGATTTAGTTCTCTCCATGGATAAAAACACCTGGATCAAATAAAGCCTCGTCAGCAGGCCTGTGGATGGCTTTGACACGCTAAAGAGTTAGCTAGGCCATTTCAGTTAGCCATGTTGGACCAGAGAGTTATCTAAACCTGGAAGGATGCCTGGAGCTGACCGACTATGACCTACTTGAGGTCAGTGGTGAGAACCACCAGGCAAAAAAAAAAAAAAACACAAGTGGGAATCTTTTGAAGAAGTCCTTGCAAAACCACCAAAAAACATGTAATCTGTTTCTTTTGTTAAATGAAGCCTTTGGGGTTAAAGGTTACAGCGGGCAAAAAAAAAAAAACCTGTTAAAAACACTTCAGTTGTTCCACAGCAAAGACAAAACTGAAATTGCTCCGACTGGATCAAGGGCTTCATATTGATCCTGTGATTAGGACTAATATCCAGTTGTAACAAGATCTAATTAACGTCTTTTTTTTTTAACACTCTGGCTCATGAAATTGCAGAGGAATAAACAAATGTCAGAACGAACATAGTATACATTGAAGCCTCGTGGAGCAAAATATTTATCTTTTAAACCATGGCAACTTGTTCATGTGCATACATACAAGTTCCTTTTTATGAGTTTAGAAGCATTTTTCTAAGAACTGTTGCCTTTACCACATCCACATAGCAGCTCAGCTATGAAAATGTAAATAACACCTATTAAAAAAGTACGAAACGTTGCCAGAGTCTTCTGCTGAGCTCAACACGGCTTCTAAGTTGTGAAAAATGAAATGGACCAAGCGAAACACGTTTCTAAAGCAACGTCCGTATTTAGCCTTAGAATAAATTATTGTCATTGCTGCCAGATGAATGTATTGCCAGAAAACAGAACACATTTAGCTTCCAGTGTTTCATTTCCTCAATGAAAGAAAATAGAGAAGCTGTGGATTAAAAAAGACACAGAGATGATTGAGCTTCAGAAGTCTTGTTGGTAACATTCACTGAGTGGGCAAACATACAACCGTAGATTTTAAACGTCTTTGTACCCATGCCACCAAACTGATGCTGAAGAGAACATGTTAAAGAGCATAGCTCACTGGAGACTCTGGTTATTTATCATCTCTACTACATCAGGTGTGATGTTGCATTTTATCTGACTCTTGTGTCAATAATAGCAAACATGCATCATGACTCTACGCCAGAAATATTCAGACGCAATAAATCAGGACATAAACAATGATCTACATGGCCGCACACAAAAAAAAAGAAAAAAAAAATCAGACCTGCTGACAAATCCAGAACACAAAAGACTGGACAGAGGGAGGACAGGGGTCAAGCACCGCAAAACAACCCCAGAAAGAAATGGAGGCCGAGTCAAAAACAGTTCAAATGACAAGAATGTCGGCAAACCATGGGAGACAAGATGGCTGGAAAACTGAGGCAGAGCTGCAGACGACAGGTAAGCTGTATAGGCAGCAGAACAGGACAGATGATACATTCTGGGTTGGCTGAGGGTGTTGCAGCTCAAACAGTGAGCAAAAGATCGTTTCCATAAACGGACGTGCTGAAACCAGCAAATACATGGCCAGAAATATTTATGCTTTGTATAACATGTTCCTTATTTTTGTTTGTTTATTGCTTTAATAAGTTCTCAGAAACCAAAACTTAACCACCAAAAGGCACATTATGGATCTGACTATCAGAGGCAGACATCAATGTCGAGAATATACAGACAAGTTCATGTCGATCAACAAGGAAGCCATTTGTTTGAATGTGAGGTGCACTAAAAAGTCAGAATACACATTTGAATAAATTGCCTGATAAAAATAATATCTGGAATTTCACATTTTCTTTCAGCTCTGCGCTTATTAAAGGCCATGTGTGTCTGATGATACGATGCTGACCAAATGTCTTTTCTGAGTCACCTACTGTTGAGTTCAGAGGATGTTACTGAACTTTGAACTCCACATGGACTCATGACCCTGATGCTCAGGATGTTTACTGTGAAGAGAAAGTGATCCCGCGTTTCCTCACTTCACACTTCGCCCTTACTTTGAAGACCAGTGAGAGGATGGAGGAAAATAAAATAATGACTTATCAAGTCATCATGAATAAGACTAACTGGGCCGAGTTGGAGAGTTCAAGTTTCCATTCACCACAAGGGGCGCTGGTGTCTATCTCTAGAGGCGAGGGTGAGGTTCACCCTAAACAGATGTCAACATTTCTGAGAGAGACATTAAAAAAACTCATATTAGAACTATTATAGGAAACCAGATTACCTGGAGAGAATCCATGATTCATGGGAAGAAACTCCATGCATAAAAATCCCAGGCCACGATTTGAGTCCAGGTCTTCCATGTTGTGGGTCGTCTGTGCTAAAACCTCTTCAGCCATCCAGCTCCAGTCTGCTATTGGCGTAGTGATAAAGAAAGAAAAGGTGTTAGCAGCACCAGTCTGTGTGTCAACAGGGACAAAAACCAGAGTGTGAAGCTAAAAACCTGAAATTACTGCAGCCGGAGTGCAGAACTCCTTCAGTGACAAACTGCTGCATCCTTAATGCACAAAGGAGCGTAATCGCAGATCCTTCCTCTCAGAAGCTTTTAAACTTTATAACCATCATTGCTTCCAACAACATCAATGTCTTTGCATAAAAACTTGCATTTCTACCATCCACTTTGTCTTTACTGTATTTTATTATTATTACTATTTTTGTTCATCTTGTTTTTTAATATATTGTTTTAACACTTCAAGAAGTTTTTGTGTCAACATTTATATCTGTTACACCTGAATGTCCCACTTTGCTTGACAATAAAAACTGTTTTTCTATTTCTCATATATGTGATATGGAGCCCCCTGGTGGTTCATAATGTTACAATTCTATTATTAATATTAATAACAAAAATCGATTTTTACTTTCAAAACTTAAACTAAATGTTCACAATTGACCTAATAATAAACCTAATAGTGACTTATTTAGGTATTGAGTCATTATATTTGCATAAGTGTAATCTGTATGTGTATTTTGTCATTTATTCATGGATGCTGATCTTTTCTGGAGGATTTTGGACAGCCAACGTCTTTCTTGTATTTGTAAGGATTATCTGGCGCCCCCTTGTGGTTCATTGGTCTAAATTTCGCTTTGGTCTAAATTAAAGGCAACATAAATAATAAAAACAACTTATAAAAGCAACTTATTTTAATTAAATTCACAGCCTTTTTATATATATATTTAGCAGTGGACAGAACAATGTATTGTTTAATTTAATGTATATTAAATTGACTGTTTAACCAATTGTAGCCATTAGAAATGAAAAATATGCACATAAATTAAACTTTTGTGGGACGATTACTGCAGATGGGCAGTAATTGCTTTTTTTAAAAATCCCCAGAACATTTTTTTTTGATTGCACAAACATTGAGTCACTTTTTTTTATTAATTTTTTTTTATTAAAGTTCAATTATGTGCTAGTACTGCATAGAAAAATCACCACTAAAAGTGAGCTGGTAGCCATAGAAAGGTTAAGAAAAAGAGAAATTAAAAAACAGAAAAACATACAAATATATTTCTATCCAAGTTTTTCTGGATGTGAATAAAATAAACAAAGCTTAAAACATCTTATCAAAAATGTAGAAATGAATGTTATTGTCAAGAGAAAGTTCCTTGCTAAACTCAACAACAGACTTTTCACTTTTCACATGCGACAATGTTATTGCCGCATTTAAAAGGACATTTGCATATAATACAGCATGGGATAAGTGCACACAAATCTTTACATTGATCTGTTTCAACTTTTGCATATAATCTAGCTTTTGTTTTCCAGTTGCATTAAATGTTTGTTGATAAAAATTCTTCACAGATGCATGAAAATAGGTGATTTTTTCCCCTTATTTTCCATTGTTTTCCAGAAACATTCTTGATCTGATTTCAGAGTAAACTTCTCCATGGGTTGCTGCATGGCTCCACTTTCCTGTAGAGAAAGAGAAAAGCGTGAGATCAAACACATTCATGTTTTTTTTTACTGCTGGTAATAACATCATTAATTACAAAGCTGCTGCTGTTAATGCTGTCAAATATTTACAGTAGCAGCAAATATATAGCAGCAACATTTTACAGTGATAGTGAAAATCCAATACTGTGAAGTCAAATTGAAAAAAAAAAAAAAAAAAATGCGCTCACTGTGTTCCACACGGACTTAAATGAGGGACGGACAACGCGGAAAAGAAAGCGGAAAGCGGAAAAGAAAGCCAGACAAAGAAATCGGGAGTTTGTGGACTCTTTCAATCAAAGATCCTGGTCGAGTTGCAGATCTGGATGAACTTGTAGACGAGCAGAGAGACAGCCGGTAAGACTCGAGCTTTATTGTTGATGAGATCGGACTGCAAAGCTACTCACGATCTCCTGTCGGACTTCCAGCTTTACCAGCTCATTAACACCATCAACTACAACACGCCTGAAGTAGTATTGATTGATTGATTTTGAATGAACTGATTGTTGTATTTTGAATAATGAATTTAGATGTTAAGCTTAGCTATTTATTAATTTAGCATTATATTAGAAATGACATCTTAAAGTTATTTATATTCATGAACTTAATATTTATGACTAATATTGAAAAGTGATGGTTGTATATTTAAATAAATGTAAATATGTTATTGAAAGATGAATTTGAAATGTATTTTAAAGTTAAGGAACTTAAGTTTAGTTACTTGTTCATTTAACTTTAGTTATTTTGGGGTTTGATTCACAGTGGGTTGCTTATTGTTTATATGGTTTGTTTTCTTTGTAGTTTGATTGAAATTAATTTGTGTAAATTTGCAAACAATTAAGTAATTTATTTCTTTGTTTTTCTTTTGGGTTTGTCCAAAGGTTTTTACCTGCTCTGGACCAAATGTGGAATATCCTGACATGCACTAAATAAATGAAGGATAAAAATGAAGAAAACTGCTTGGTCCTTTGAGTAAAATCCTGTTTTAAAAAGTCTGCATCCATTCATCCATCCCTTCTCAAGTGGGGAAGCTGCACAAATCAAAAAAGAACTTGACAAATACAAAGAAAATAAAATGCACAATTAGCAAATTATTTCACATAAATTATACAGAAGCACATTCAAATTTACAAATGAATCTAAATACAGATTTTATCTACCTTTATGTTGATTTTCTCTGTTTTTACGTTTTGCTTTAGCGTTCAGTGGGTTTTAAAACAACAATGAGACCTCGGTATTTTTACAAGAGAACAATCGTCTGTGGCAGATGTAGCTGGGTTTGAATTATAAAGCCCATGATAAAAAGTTATATTAGCTCAGCATTTCTAAGTTATAAATCACCTAAACTTTTGGGCCAATTATTAAGCAACGTTTCTAAAAACTATTAATGCCAATGAATGTGGTGCAGGTATCCAGAACTCTAAAAGTCCTCAGCTGGTTCTCTGATCTGACGCATTCTGCTGCTTTCTAGTTGAAGCAAAGGGCAGATGATCGTCTGACCTGCATGATGGGATGTAATGATCTGCAGCGTTGTTGGCATGATGACACATTTCAGTGAAAACTTTGACCGCTGGAGCCGAACAAACTTACCTGAAGTTTCTGGTTTTATGCGCTGTTCACATAATCGTCCTCTGGGTCATCAGAACTGTCTGTTAATGCAACAAATCATCAACAAAAACTAAATGATGCACGATTAAGGTAAAACAAATACATAAATTGAACGTAACCACTTTATTCTCGCTGATTGTGTTCCATGATGCTGATCCTGATTTTCACAATATTTCACAGGAACACCGTGGGAAATATGTTCATTTGTTTTTGATGTTTTGGAGGAATGCTCATTTTTAAAGCCTTAATCTTCTAAAACAAGAGCCTGGAATTAATCTGTTTCTGAAATATTTTGGATTTTAATCTCAAATCCTGGAAGTCTTACTACTGAAATCAGTCGGTCGCTGCATCTTGACGTTCTTAAAGGAATTGGACTTACTATTCATAGTGGCTGGTTGGATCGACTCGTATTCAGAAGCATCACCTGCAAAGCAATGAAAATGTCAAGAGTAGAAAAGTCTGAATTTCAGAATTTAAAACTTTTTGTATTTTTGCAGTTTTCAATGTGACGTCTTTAGTGTCATCTGCCACAACTCACACATTTTATGCCAAAAGCCTGAAATGTTAGAATATTAAAATGTTTGGTGTTATTTTTTTAATTTCACTTTTTTTTTTTTTTTTTTTTTTTTTGCTGCCGTTTAAAAGTTAGAAAACATCCCACATATGAGGGCAACATGTTTTATGCAGCAGATGTATTCAGCATTGCTTTCATATCTCACTGTGTTGGACTGTAGAAAAATCCTAATCATGTTGGGGATTTTTGCACCAGAATCAGGCGTAAACCATGTTGAACTTTTTCTGTGTTTCTTAGAATAACATCCAGTGTGGCTGTTTTTGGTCTTTGATAAATGAAAATGAAATCATCTTAAATCATATTTTTAGGGAGCTAATATAAAATATAAATCAAAGTTACTGACCGTGTAGCAGAGAGCTGTAAACTTGGCTCTCTCCCAGTTTGGGTCCTTGATTTGTGGTCGAGCTCTGACTGCTGGCCTTTGACCTAAATCATGCAAAGAGTTATACTGAAATAAATACAAACATGGATGGAAGATGAACGATTGTGGTCAGAGAAAAGTAAATACCAGAGTACTGACCTGAAGCACCATAAATCTGGATGGAAAAAAGAAAAATTGAGGCATTATAGTGCAAGCTGTTTTTCCTGTTTGTTCCTCATCTAAATAAATTTAAAGAATTTGAAACTTTATTATCTAAGTTGCTGTATATCCACCCTTACACTGTCTGCAGCGCAACATCATCAACAGCAGGAGAAAACCAAGAGTGATTACAACAAGCAGTCGAACGATCAACATCCCAGGAAATGAAGAGCTGACAGGACTGGATACAGTTCCTGGAAATGAGAAACATTGAACATAAGAAAATATTTTTACCCTGACAATTAATGAAAAATAAGTTTCTACCACCGACTGTTCAGAGCAACCACCGGGTATTCCATTCATTCCTGACACAATAGTTCTTACATATTTTGGAAGAATGTCAACACTATCAAGAACAAGATGCTAGGAAACTTCTTTTAGTTTTTGTCACTTTTGTACCTGCAATATTTGCAGTGAAAGACAAGATTTAAAGCATCGGTATCAATGACTCTATTAAAGCATTGTGCCTAATATTATCATTTCTCCACAAATTGATTTATTCTCATCCAGACTTACAGTCGGTATGAAACAGACACCTTTATCACATTTTGGATTCTTTGCCATTTTATCGTAAATAAAAAATTTGGAAAATTTTTGAGTAAAAGTCTGAGCATCTCAAACACCAGAAATAAAACTGATAACCACTTCAGTGACAGATAACAAAATAGATTATGCAAAAAATGGCGGTAGCATGCCTTAGCATACCTTCTGAATTTACAACAATGTTCACCTGTACAGACCCCCAGATGGGACATGGGGAAGATGTTTTCTTTTGTGTTCCCTTGCAATGACTGAAATATTTGCTGGTCCCTTTTGTAGACAGTCACAAATGTCAATTTAAAATTTCAAATGTAAAGAGCCTAAAGGTTTATTCTTAACTCTTTGGTGCTAAAAACTGACTGAAAATGGATTTATTCACTGCACTTGTGTCAGGTTGAGATGGAACCACACATGAAAATGGCCCTTTATATCGTTTCCACCATCAAAACTGTCAGGTGACAGATTAATATCTCAGAAATAGTACAAACAGTTAAAATGTATTTTTGTTTCTTTCCATCTTATGGAAAGTTTCTGTTTATATCACATGTCTGTGGTGCATTTCTGTCCAAAAGAAAAATATATAAAACTTCACCTATTTCACAATGAGATATTAACATGCATAGAAAAACCTCATGAGAGCCTTTTATTATAGCAGAAAGTACAATGGCCACCATAAGAAATGCTTGCAGTATTCATCTATGCCATATTTACTGATCAGCACAGTAAGGAGACCCCATGTCCTCAAGGGGCTCCATACATTTATACTATGCATATTAATAAATTTAACAAATTTAATCACATTTCATGTTTCTGTTCAAAAAGCAAATGACTCACATTTTACTTAATGGAGCAGATGTTTACAAAGCAGAACAGTCAGAGAAAGAAGCTGCTGAGTTTTGAAGGAGAAACTTTTAACACCCATCCACTGCACATGTTTCCACTTAATTCAAGAATCACTGGATTGCTACGGGTTGTTTACAGTATCTTCAGATATGATGAAATATAAATAATGTTTAAAATGCTGGGACAAGTGAAAACACACTGAATTATAACCTGCCTTGTACAGTGATGTTGACTGCATTGCTGAATTCTCCTGATCCAGACTCACACCAGTAAACTCCACTGTGAACCTCCAGTCTGTTAATGGTACATGAGGATCCAGACATCATCTCCCAGTTGAAGCACTGAACATATGATGGACTGGTTGATTCTGTAAACCTCTTCACTCTCCACTTGGTGTCATTCCCACTGCAGTTCAGTGTGACAGACTGATCAATGAAATGTTGAACTCTGTCAGGACTCACTGAGAGAGAAGCTGCTGGATGAGAGTCTGAAAAAAACACACAGAATAGTGTAAAATTTCTCCTGGCAGTTGTGTTGAGAAAATGTGAAAAACAATGTTCATTGAGCTGTGATTGTAAAATACGCTGTAAAATGATTAGTGGTTAACAGACATTATAGTAGGGAAGTAAAACCAAAGACACCAAAAACAACAACAAAAAATACAGAAAGAGATATGAGTAACATGAAATAAATGTTGATCTGATTAAATTTGTTGATATAATTATTTTAAGTGAGAAAAGAGTCCATTACATAAGCTTTGCTAAGTATGAATAACAGCAAACTGCCACAATGATAATCTGCTACTTTATTTATTTATGAAAGCTAAGGAGGAGGAACACAATAGATTATTCAAAACGTTAATTAGAAACCTGAGCTCATCAACAATGCAAATTGTGGAATAAAAATCCAAAATGAAAGAACAGAAACAAACTGACCTGCAGACCAAACAAACTTTACTTCACTGTCACGAGTGTAAAACTTTGGTTCTCCTCTTCCTGCTCTGCACTGATATCCTGCTGTTTGAGTCGGTCCATTAATGATGAAGGAGTTCTGCTCAGTCCCATTGATGGTGTTAGGCAGCAGCTCAAAGCTGTAGGAACTGCTGATTGGGTTTGGAACAGCTTTATACCAGAAGAACCTCCATCCTGCTGATTGAAGCTCCAAACCCTCACAGCTCAGAGTCACTGAGGCTCCAGGATTCGGCCATGATGGAGACACAGAGAGGACAGGCTGAGGGCGAGACGCTGGAGAGAGAGGAGGTATAAACATACTTACACACATGTAGAAATATTTTATTACATATTAAGATTTTATTTACTAATGTCTGAAACCAAATCTCTTGTTTTAAGTTAGTTAGAATTAACAAAACTATTTCTATTTGCTAAATGCCAGAAGACTTAGTGAAAATATCTTTTGAAGGATTTTTTTGCAGCTTTTGACATTTAAGTCATTTCAAACAAGGAAGCAGTGAGTTTCAGGTCCGCCTTCAATTAACTTGAATGTTAATTGAAGTGAGAAAAGAGTCCATTACATAAGCTTTGCTAAGTATGAATAACAGCAAACTGCCACAATGATAATCTGCTACTTTATTTATTTATGAAAGCTAAGGAAACTATCAATTAATTAGGTTAACTAATTAATTGATAGTTAACCTATCAAAAGTTGAGGAAGGAAACCCAAAAGATTTGACTCAAGTCAGATAGCTTAAAAGAAAAAAAGGTAAATACATTTCTTAATTCAGAGAAAGCTACAAAAAAATCTCAAAAATGCTCAGTACGCTTTTTTTAATCTCATTTAGCAAATAGAAATAATTTTGGTCGTTCTGGTTGAACTAAAATAAGAAAATGTTGTTTGATTTACTTCATACACTGAGAAAACAATTTTAATAACTTTTGATCCAGTGTATGTGAATATCTGTCTAATAACTCTCATTATAACTAACAAAATAAAATGATCACTGGTAAAGAACAATGAAGCAAAACAAAGCAGTATTAGACATATAATATGCACTTCCTATAAATTACTTGCTTACAGCCAGAATGTTGCACTGTTTGCATCATATCATCACATTTGTGACAGTTTTTCCATCAAACAGACATAAATTGCTGCAGTAAATCCTCTGTCAATATCAACATAGAAATTTATTGTCTGGTTTAAATATCAACATGAACAGGAGCAAATTTTCTGCTTTCAGGCTTCATTAGATGGAGTTACAGATGATGATCGTTGCACTGGAGTCATAATACTTTTAACACCACTGATGAACAAAGAAGCACTAAGATGTTTCATTTCACAATAAAGACAAGTTTACCTCTTTTCTCAATAGTGACCTTTCCGCTGGTTTCAGTGTAGAAAACTGGATCTCCTCTTCCTCCTCTGCAGCCGTACTCTCCTCCCTCTGAGATGAAGAGGACTCCGTCTGATTCACTGGTTCTGATGGACTGAGCTGCAGAAGAATCTGACTCCAGTTTGAACCAGTCAAACTTCCAGCCAACTCCAATGTCAATAAGGCAGGTCAGTGTTACTCTGCCCCCTGCTGGTATGATGTTATCACTTGCTGTTAGTGAGGCTTTGGGTCGATTTGCTGGTTGAAACAGAAAACAAGACAAACTTTAGAAAGTGTCTTGTTTGAGGAAACAATCTGTTCAGATCAATTTTAACTTCTGAGTCACTTATGCTGTTTGATGTTTCATGCTTCCTGGCCAGGTTATTGTTAAAAATTAGAATTCAGTCCTAATCAATTTACCTGATTAAAAAGAAATATTTTAAACTAATCTTTCAAAAACCAGTATTTGGAAGAGTGACTAGAATCAACTGAACTTCACTTCCATTTCTAAAACTACAGACAGAGTACAAATCTAAAACAACACAGAAAAGCAACAATCAGAACTTCTCCTTCTGTTCTCTGATTGGCCCAATAGAAATTCTACTGGAGAAAATCCAAGTCAATGGGAGAAAGCCCAGACAGAGCACTGAAGAGAGATTAGAACTAAGTGTTGCTGCATAAGAAAGCAAAGGCCAGGCTCACATAAAGTCTAAACCTGTTATAAAATACCAAATTATTTCTGATTTACCATTTAACATGAGAACTAATGCAGATGTGAGGAGTTTTGCATCCAAAAATGTTGTCTGGTGTTCTAGGATTGTGAGAATGAGGATGTTTCTGTCAGACTTACATTTCACTGTCAGTGGAAAGGGAAAACTCCAGCCTGAGTTCTGATCTCCTTTACTAGCCCTGCAATAGTAACTCCCACTGTCAGACTCAGAGACGCTGTTGATCCTGTATTCATTGGATGTTGGAGAGTTTCTATTGGCTGGACTCCATTGATACGTCCACTGAGTTCCTTCATCGTCCTCCATCTCACATCTCAGAGTGACCGTCTCTCCTCTGAATACGACAGGCCAGCTGGGATGCCGCTTCACAGTCGGCGCAGACACTAAAATGTATAATATTCAATCAGAAGACAGAAAATTATATTGAGCAAAAAACTGAAAATGCTGAATTCTTATAGCTTATGATTATCAGCCTCATTAAATGATATGAAAATAAAACATTTTATATTTACTAACAAAGAAAAAAAGACATGTTATGTTTTAAGGTGAACCACAAACTGAGCTCAACAAACAGTAATAAAATTTGACCATCAAACATATACATATTTTAAAGCAGATTTCTTTGTTTTATTTTCAGAATAGAACTGAACTCACCAATTTTCTGAATGTTGCTTGTTTCTGTATGAAAAACTGGATTTCCTCTTCCTCCTCTGCAGCTGTAGAGACCTCTCTCTGAGACAGAGATAACTCTGAATGGATCTTTGTTTCCTCTGAACCGGGGTGCAAAATATTGTTGATCATTTCTGAACCAATCAAACTTCCAGTCATCAGATTCGTCCACAGAGCAGGTCAGTGTTATGCTGCCCCCTGCTGGTATGATTGTTCTGTCTGCTGTCAGTGTGGCTCTGGGTTTATCTGCTGTGGGTTTTAAATAAACAAGAAAGAAAAGAAAATCATATTAGTGACCAATCTTTGCTTGGTGGTTTCTCTGTTTTGGTTGTTGGTGATAATTTATTATCAACATGTGCAAAGCTTATTAGGAAAGATTACATTATTGCCAGACAAGGGGAAAATACGTCCGTCGCATAAAAGAAACTCACTAAACATTGCAAACATATACAATACAGTCTTGAAAGAAGAAAATATGACAGGAGAAACAGCAATGCATTTGGATTCACAAGGTCCGGTTTCTGAATCAGTCATGTGATTCGGTCCGATTGGGAGGCTTCAAACGTCATCGCCTGTTTCTACACCACAAGCCTGGATACAATAACCCTCATTGATTACTCAATACATGCTCTTTAATGCCTCAACACAAAGGCCACATCACTAAATCATATAAGATGACTTACTTCAGGAAAAAATTACTTTATTTTAACACTAAACTGTCTTAAAATGTTGAGTATAGCTTAGTACCACATTAAAGGCTTAACATTGAACTGCAGAGTGACTCTGTAGTGTTTACTTCAGTGAAATGAAACTGTTTTTATTTATCTAACAGAAAGTCTCTTGCTTTTATTTTGTTTGTAGTCAGAAATAACAGAAAACCTGGTTTTATATTAAATCCAAACAATATAAAGTTTCTAAATCAGACTCACGTTTCACTGTCAGTGTGACGCCATCACTCCATTCTGTTTGTTGATGATCTCCTGCAGCCATACAGCTGTAAACTCCACTGTGATATTCAGAGACGTCATTGATGCTGTATTCACTGGATCTTCTTTGAATGTTTCTATTGTTTTTTCTCCATTCATTTGTCCACTGAGTTCTTCCTCCTTCCTTGATCTCACATCTCAGAGTGACTTTCTCTCCTTTATATACAACAGACCCACTGGGTTGTCGGTTCACAGTCGGCTTGGGAACTATTCAACAAAAACAAAACAGTTTTCATCCGGAAAACAGACAGAAATATCCTGATATTATCTCCATTGTTCACCTGTCTGATACCCACATCAACAATGTTTAAGCAAATATTTTCTGGCTGAATATTTAATAAATCAAAAGTACAATTTTATAGAAACTATTTTAATTTCTGAGCTCATAATCTCCATGATTTTTTTAAATTTATTTTAACAAACATGTTAATTGTGTTTTCTAACTCAAAGACAGCACTTGTCATTTTTGACAGCTGACTGAATATTTATTTCAAAACCTTTACTTAAGAGAACAAGACTACAGAAAATATGTGAAACATTACAAATGAGTATATCCTTCCCTGCATTTTAATAGAAAATAACTGTAATAAACTTAAGGTGTTACATTACTATGTAAGTGTCATGAAATGGTGGTGGTGAGGCAGACGCTGGAGACCCAGGTAGGTGAATGGTGAGTAATTTAATGAAAATAATCCACAAAAACACAGTCAACAGAGTCCGCGGCCAGGCAGCATGGCTGAGCGGAAGCCAGGGCTCAACGCCTGTAGCAACTGGTCATTCAGGCAGCTGACAAAAACAAAGGACACCGACTTGCAACAACAATTGACAAACAACGACAAGGACCCGACCAGGAACAAAGGACACAGGAGGGACTAAATACACTGAGGGTAATCAGGAGAACAAGACACACCTGGGAACAATCAAGGGGAAGACAGGACAACGAGGAGAACTCAGGACACAGAAACTCGGTATAAAAACACAGAAAAACACAGAACCTGACAGTAAGAGTCAAATAACAGTAAGAGGAACATTTGAACCCTAAACGGCTTCAAAATGCAACAAATCAACATTTGGAGAGATGCAGCGAAAAGGTTTTAGCGAAGCATCAAATCGAAGATGAATGTAAACTCCAAATGTATCAATTAAAAATAATTAATCTTCACAGTAACAGAATCAATATTTCATTTTAAGGCATCATCAAATAGAGGTGCAGTCTTGCAATTACTGTTTTATTATGGTTCCAACATTATGGCGACTAAAACACAACTGATAAACAAATTCTAGATTTAGAGAGAGATTTTTATTTCATTACAAAATTAAGAAATAAACTTACCAATTTTCACAACAGAGATTTTATCACTTATTTCAGTTTGAAAACTTGAATATTTTCTTCTTCCTCTGCAGCTGTACTCTCCTCCCGCTGAGACATAGATAACTCTGTTTGGATCTCTGTTTCCTCTCGCTGCAGAATATTGTTGATCATTTCTGAACCAGTCAAACTTCCAGTCATCAGATTCGTCCACAGAGCAGGTCAGTGTTGTGCTGCCCTCTAGTGGTATGATTCTTATGTCTGCTGTCAGTGTGGCTCTGGGTTTATATGCTGTTGGTTTAAAGAAAAATAAAAGTGACTCAATAATCAAACTATTAATTAATTCATGACATGTTTACTAAACTTAATCATCTTAAAAAGTTGAATGTGTTAAGTTCATATTTACTTTAGTGACATGAAGCTGTTTTTATTTATCTAACAGAAAGTCTCTTGCTTTTATTTTGCTTGTAGTCAGAAATAACAGAAAACCTGGTTTTATATTAAATCCAAACAATATAAAGTTTCTAAATCAGACTCACGTTTCACTGTCAGTGTGATGCCATCACTCCATTCTGTTTGTTGATGATCTCCTGTAGCCATACATCTGTAAACTCCACTGTGATATTCAGAGACTTCATTGATGCTGTATTCACTGGATCTTCTTTGAATGTTTCTATTGTTTTTTCTCCATTCATTTGTCCACTGAGTTCTTCCTCCTTCCTTGATCTCACATCTCAGAGTGACTTTCTCTCCTTTATATACAACAGACCCTCTGGGTTGAAGGATCACAGTCGGCTTGGAAACTATTCAACAAAAACAAACAGTTTTCATCCGGAAAACAGACAGAAATATTCTTTGGATTGTTTGCATGTGTGATATGCAGGTAAAGACAGGAAATAAAATAAAATAATATAAAATATAATAAAATAAAATAAATTAAATAAAATACAATAAAATGAAATAAAATAAAATAAACAGCTAACTGAATGTTTTCTGTTGCTTCAGATGACAAAATCTCAAATATTTAGTCTTAGTTTTCCCACAGAATCTTTTTCCAAATTAACTTTGCACTAAAACACTAATTTATCTTAGCTAAAGTACATCTGGATTAAAATCAAGTATCACAAAGATGAGCACATGAACTCTAAGTTACTTCAAAATCCAGTTGATCAAACCTTCAGTATTAGAAATGGAAAGATGCAGCAAAAAGGGTTTAAACATGAAATTGAAGACATTGAAGATAATTGAAAACTCAAAATGTCTCAATTAAAATTTATTACATAAACAGCAACGTTTCATTTTAAGGCATCTTCAAATGGAGTTTCAGTCATATAAAAACTGATTTACTGAAGCTTCTTCTCATCATTGGGTTACAATATGGCTTCCAAAAAAAACATCTGATAAACAAATGCTAGATTTAAAGGAAGATTGTTATTTTATTACAGAAAAAGAACAAAGCTCACCGGTTTTTAGAACAGAGACTTCTTCGCTTTCTTCCGTTTGATAAACTGGATCTCCTCTTCGTCCTCTGCAGCTGTAGACACCTCCATCTGAGACACTGACGTCACTTTGTTGTTCATTGGTTCCTCTGAGCTGAACTGGTTCATCATCTCTGAACCACTCAAACTTCCAGTCATCAGATCCGTCCACAGAGCAGGTCAGTGTTGTGCTTCCCACTGCTGGTATGATTGTTGGGTCTGCTGTCAGTGTGGCTCTGGGTTTATCTGCTGTTGGATTCAAAGCAGAAAATCAATCAAACCATCAGAACATGACCTGGTTCTGGTTCACTTTTCTTGGTTAAGTTGTGTAGATTTGTATTCTAACTCACTTGACACTGTCAGTCTGAGGGCTTCACTCCATTCTGTTTTATTATCGTCTTTTTCAGCTCTGCAGCTGTAATCTCCACTGACAGCTGGAATAATCCTCCATTCATTTGTCATTGGAGAGTTTTCATTGGCTGGTCTCCATTCGTACGTCCACTCAGCTCCTCCGCCTCCCTGGATCTCACATGTCAGAGTAACTTGTTCACCTTTGTATATCTGGGTCCATTTGGGATGTTGGATCACACTGGGTTTAATGGAAACTGTTCATACAAACATTACTTACTTTAAGTGTGATAATAAAAATAAAATTGAACAAAACAAACAAGAAGATGTTTTCATCATTAGAGTATCTAAAATTGAACAAATTTTCAATTTGATGATGATTAATAATACTATTTTAAATACTATTTTTGCTGCCTTCCGTGTTGTAGTCTGGGTGGGAGTGATGTGTAAATGAGGCGTCTTGAAGCGTTTCGACCCAAAGCAAAACGGTGTTGATACAGTTTTGCTGTCACTCAATACTGACACCTGCTGGACATTAAAAATCCCTACTGGTAACATAGTTGACAGACTGATTTGATGATTTAGTCTAATACAAAAAGATTTAAGTCATTGTATTTTATTGTATATTATATATTGTATTATGTCTTATCTTCAGTTAAATTCAAAAGATATTCTTAGATACAGTCGATAAATAATGTGAACATAAAAATTGAGTGAAAATTTAAGTGAACATGTTTGGAATGAGCATGGTTGTGGAATTTTTTAAAATCTTTTTTTACAAATTTTCATTCAAAAAAATTAGTTTTTCCAACATTTGGAGTTTTAGTCTGTTACGCTTTTTTGACACAACTTCTCTCTTTTGTGTATGCAAACTTCTGGTTTCAACTCTAGGCATGCACGCCATAAGTCATACGTTATAAATCAAAATTAGATCAGTTGAGAATGTCCAAAAAGGGCCATTCCTTACCTTCTGCACAGCCAGCAAAATGTGCATTGAACCCTAAAATGAAGTAAATCTCAGTGTTAGAAGGGTTAAAAAATTGAACTGACATTTACATTAATGCACAAACCACTCACTTTCATGAGCACATGCAAGTGAGCACGAGCACATGAACGCACCTCAAATGAGTGAATGACTGCATCTTCTCACTATACACTCTGTAATCTTGAGAAAACACTGAAAACAATGTCAATAATTTACTTACAGAAAAAGCCCAGCACACAGAGCAAGATGTGGCCCATCCTGACATCGAGAACGGCTACTGAGAAGAAGAAGCAGACGTCACAGATAAAGCAGATAGAGAACGAACAAGTTTGAGACTTCTGTCTATAACTTGCTTGTTTGCGTCTTTTTTACTAAGAATTCACACTACAGCAACACCTTTTACTGCAGGCGATTGGTCACCATAGTTACATTTCCTGACTATTGGAGGAACTTACAAGTTCATGTCACACATCTGACATGCCCTAAGAAAACCATTGGTTTAAAAAACATTGCAGAGCTTATTTATTTAAGGGAAGTGTTATGAGGCTCTTGACGCTCGTACAAGTTGCTGCGATACTGAAAAACATTTCCACCGTATGCTTTTCCTGCTTGTTCACCTTATTTTGCCACTTCCTGGTCAAATCTTAATGACTCTAAACCTGAAACACTCGTATTAGCATTTAGAAGATCTGATGCACCATGTGCCTTTGCATCAACTTTGCTGTTCTCCTTTTTTAGACTCATAATCAGTTCCTGAAATATATATATTTTTTAATTATACTTACTTGTGCTTTCTAAGCCCTCCGAGTGATAAAGACTGTGAAGAAGAGCTATGTTTTTCTCTAATCTTCCTTTTTTGTTGTTGTTGTAGTGTGTATAAATATTAGACTCAAGGCAAAGTAAACTAAGCAGCCGATTAGGGCCCCAAAGTCACTAAGGGGCATCTCAGTGAAGCTGTTGTTTATATATATATTTTTTTTTTGTTGTAATAATCATTCTAATTTTAAAAACACACAATTTTACTGTGAAGTGATTTGTTTTTACAATAATACATATTTAATGTATGTAGAAAAGATCATTTTATTGATAAAAAGAAAAAAATAAATTGCTCTTGGGGGCCTCTGGTGGCCGCAGCAGGTACCGCATGCTTCATGAGCAACATGAGCTGCCCTGCAATATGCAGAGAGCATCCAAAGGTCCAAAGGTCCAAAGGTCCAAATGTCCAAAGGTCCAAAGCTCCGGTCAGAAGATAAGTTAGCAAAACAATGTCTCAAAAAGGACTCTTCCTTCAAGGAGGGAGAAAAGAAAGAGGAAATATTTTTTTAAAAAGCCCAGATAAAGGTTTGTTTTAATATCAACTGTAAACGTGAAGCCCTGACCTGGTGGGCCGGTCTGTCAGTCAAACCTCTCACTGCAGAGCAGCAGAGGACAGAGACTGATTTATAAACCTTTGCTGACGAAGGTAAGATTATGGGATAAGTGTAAGTGTCGACCAATCACAATCCCCCAAAGTCTGTCTTGTGATCACAAATGTGATCACAAGACAGACTCCCAAAAATCTCTGGAGTGACTGAAGGACATATTCCTTATGACATGGTAAAAACACTGCTATACACAAGAATGACTTAGATAGACTCTCCACCGTTATCGTAATTCATCTGGCGTTCACTTCCTGGCTTATCGTTGTTTGAGTTGCTCTTGGCTTGTCAGACTCACGCTTGTCCTCTTGGTGGTGCTATGTGTTCAGACATTTGGCATCTGCAGCACACTGTACACGGTTTCTGTGTGTGTGTCGCTCCAGTCCTTATTTACATCGGCGCACGCTGAAGTCAAAGTCTTGTGCGTGCTCCCATCTTGTAATGCGTCTTGTTTCTTGTCACTTTTGACACAAGACGCAGCCTTTCTGGGGACGCTGTAGACGGTGTCTACCCCCGGACTCTCACTGAAGACCTGCTCAAGTGTTGGCAGGCTGATCTCTCTGGGCTGGTTGGTTTCCACGTTCTCATATGAAGGGTCCGCTTCACTGGAAGATGTTGAGGCTCTGGGCTCGGAAGGCTGCTGGGCCTCCAGCGGTCCGCTTTGTATTAACTGGGCAACAGATGTCGACTCCTGGAGTGAAAAAGAAAATGTTCTTTAGAAAATAAGAGAGAGCTTTTTAAATGGGATTAATGTCTCTAAAGTTTCATTAGTAATACATAATTAGTGAGAATATTTTTTTCTTTTAAATTACCTGATTATGTTTGGATTTCCAATATTTTCTGGCAATAACAAAACTGAGGAATATTGTAGCAACAATTATAATAATTATGATAATAATATAAATTATATCAGGAAAAGTTTGTGATTCCTGTGTAAGTTCAACATTCGTCTGTACAAAACCTGTAAGAAAGAAAAGAAGCAGCATTAGCTGGAAATGACTTCATTTAAGGCAAAAAAATAATCAAACATGTTTCTTATCATAATTTAAAGTAGATTAAAAATCACTTTCACTTTTACGAAGCACTACAATGAGGAAGCAACTTTATTCTACTTTCAGAACAATTCAGGCAACTTACACGTCGTGGGAATGTTTTGTGAGACGTTACGTGTGCTGACATGGTTGTTACCGCTGCAGACAACAACTGTGTTTTCGATGAAGACGGTGATGTTGACGTTACTGAAGGACCCCTGAGACGTTCTGCAACCATTTCTGTGACAGACGGACCCCAGCCAGACATCCTGGATGGAGCAGTTCACTGTGAAGTCACATAGTTCTGCTAAAAGACTGGAACGATTTTCTGGTGTCACAGTCATCACTGGTGTGGGAATCATTCCTGGAACACCCAAAACATGCAGATTAATAAATGTCGCCCCCTGCTGGCTACTTCCTGCAATGCATTTTACACGCTGACGTTAATTTCTTAGTACTGGAAGCACAAGGAGAAAAAAATGTATGAGATTTAGAAGGCGAAGAAATGAAAAAAAAATACAACTTGCACACTTAAAGCAAAATTCAGCTTAAACAAACCTTGTAAAATAACTTGGTGATTTTCAAATTGTTGAGCAAGGTTGGAGAAGTAAGTGACCTTAAAGATGCCTGTGTCATTTTCAGTCAATCTATTTATACACAGAGATAAGTTTCCAGAAGTGAAAACTATTCTCTCTTCATAGTGTGGAACGACAGATTCCTGATCAGCTACAAGTGTTCCATTAAACGTCCAGGTAAAGCTTCGATATGGAGGAGGTTTTGTGACATTGAGACACACAGAGCTGTTCTTTGGTCGATAATGCCTAAACCATAGCTCCGTTCCTGTAACTGGATTGAGAAAAAATAATAGGTCAAACACAAATAAATATATTTCAATACTCTCAAAGATGCAGTTCAGCGTCAATAGATATATTGAAAAATGATCAGCCAGCATGAGTGGACACAAAACTGATTTTAGTTTCTTTATTTCCATTTGGTCTGCAGTATGGAGAAGATTATTTCAATTCTGCTCAAAATAAACCTGCTAACATGTAGAATATATGGTATCCTGCAAAGGTATTCATGTTCCTTTCATATTTGTATTGAGATTTTAGGAGAGTAGACAACACTATGACTAATGAATATTGTTTTCCACAGGACTGCGTGCTCTTGGTCATCTTGACCCTTTTCTTTAGTGTCCAGGTCATCTCACCAGTTGTCAAGCAAGTGATTAAAGGACACATATGTGACACTATTGAATAAAACATTGATAAAAAAAAACTACTTTTTGCATGATTTAACTTTTAAAGTGTTTATGTTTGTTTGTGAACAAGACACAGTTTGCAGTTAGTGTTACATTACGGATAAAATATTAGCTTTACATTTCCAAATTCTCCTGTGTTTTCCTATTTCAAAACAATGTTTCAACCTTTTTTGGAGTATTGTCAGATGTCTAAGAGGATCCTAAGAAATTTAGTGAATATGCTAAACATAAGTCAATCTACGGTAAATGATATTCAGTTAATAAAAAATGCAGTAAACGCAATTTTAAAAGCAACAAACAGCTAAATGATGCTAAGAATAAATGTTCTGTCTGAAACCTGCAAGTTAAACAATAACACAGTGCCTGCTTGATGTGCTTTACCTCACATAAAGTATATTATACATTTCTGAGCTCTTTCTTTAAACAATAGCTTTATGAAAAAAGAAAACAGTCCACTTCTCTGCATACAGTTGATCAAGAGATCAAGAAACTCCAGGAATAAAACTCTAGCAGTTGCCATGGAACTAATGTAAAAAATATTTATTCTCAAAATTTGAGTTGTTTATTTTACCTGAGAAAAATAATAAATTAAAAATGGGAAATTTATTTTTTGCTTTTGGTAGTGCATTGCCAAATATTGATCCTCACATATATTTTGTAAAGGTGCCAAAACCGTCCCATTATTTTATCCACTCAGAAATTACTAACTACTTCATCCTGGCAGATCACATGAAATCTGCATTGAATTACAATTATTGGAGTTACAAGGAGACAAAATGTTCGACAGTTTGAGGAATTTAAGTATTTGCAAGGCGCCGTAAACTTCCTAGAGAAACATGTTTTTAAAAAGTCCTTCTTCTGATGTTAAACATGCAAGGGTTAAAAAAAAACATAGCAATTTCAACTCACCAGTAAAGCTCCACATACTCAGCAGAAATATTAGTTTTAAGACAACCATATTTGTTTTTTTTAGATTCAATAGATGAAGAAATGAAATCATCCGAGAAACAGCGCTGTAGCTGAGCAGCAGGTGTTCATGTACAGGAAATACTCATCGCCTGTTTCCTGAGATAAGAGAACCGAGTCGACTTTACGGGGTGGTGCTGCTTGAAAACTAAACGTATTTTTCAATATAAAAATACCTATAGATCTGCCCATGCCCCTTGCTTTGAAACTGATTTATGATGGTTTATCTCCAACCACATACAGGATGGATCAGATATTCATCTGAAGGCTCAATCATTGCTTCGTTGTTACACTGGAGACGAGAATTACAAGCACCACTTCCATCAGAGTTTTGAAATCAGGGAACATTTCTCCGGACTAAATGATCTGAAGTTGACGAGACTCTGAACGAGGGATTTAATGGTCCTGTGAGGCTTCGGCTCAGCATCAAACACACTCTGAAGCATCTTGTCTATGACTCTTTCAATGCACATTCTGCTCCTGCGTAGAGAGATGCATTTAGCTCAGATTACTTATATGTTTGTGAAATCCCTTTCAGGCGACATATCGACATTGATGCAGTGACTGCGACTCCCAATTCTGTTTAGGACTTTATGATCGATAGAAGTAGAGAGCACCTGTGCATGAAAGGAGATTCAGAAAAGGGCTAGTCTGTCCTTAAATTGCTTCTTGCCGTTGCGTGCAAGCTGTTAAATCTTTCAAAGTGCGAGCAGCTAGAAATTTCAGCCGAAATGTTTGGACTTTCCCATTGATCTAAATATTGCTATCAAACCAAGTGCGGTCAAACTGATCTGTTAGCCTTTACCAGCTACAAAGGTAAATGCACCAACAAAACGTTGTAGTAGAAAAATTGATTTCGACCACTTTATTTAAATGTGGATTGATTGTTTTGTGTATATGAATGTTTTGCTTTAATGTGCAAGTGTGAGAGAGTCTGCAGCGCATTAAAAGGCCCGTGCAACCAGTTCTTGCTTTTCAAGTCTGTTGTAATTTTGGGGGTTATTGAGAAAGTAACGTAAATTTTCATATCTGAATTTGATGTCAAATGAGCTCAAAGAAGCATAGCAGTGCGGTGGTATAGTTAGAAAAACAGGAAGTAGACACAACAGACCTAGAGTGTCACGATGGGTCCTGCTCTCTTTACCTACATCCAGAACACAACCAGGTGAACAGATGATCAGATAAATAAAAGTTTACTTTAACAATGATGAAAAGTGAGATTGTGTTATTCTTGTCCTTGTGGATGGCAATTGGCATTATACATCTAATGACCATTGTCAAAATTTCCTCAAAACATTCAAAATATCAGTTTGTGACATCAGCAGGGAATGGTGTTGCTCAACACAGACACAAACACATCTACTGTTGCAAATGATACATTTATTAAACAAGGCACTTAAAGTTACATGGACAGTTTGAGCGGAGAGCTTGCAGGATTAAAACAGTCATTCATTGAATACATTGTGATGCAGAAACCAGGACAACGTCCAGCCTGAAACATTTTCAGCAGTCGTCGTTGATGGGAAGGCAGGCAATCTTATGATTTTATCAAGTGGACGTAAAAAGAGTGGTGCAAAAGTTGACTTTATTGGGATATTTTTAATCTAGCACAGTGCTTATTATTAGTACTAGTATTATTAAGATATTTGGCTTTTCGTTGTTTAGCTATTTATTTACTTACTTTTGGTTTTGCCCCAGCAATCATTTCATGTTTTCATCCCCAACTTCTTCAGGAACAAATTAACTTGTTTCTCATGAGATGCTTCAAGACTCAACTTTTAACAACTGCTTCCAAAGTCGTTTCCTACAATCTATCTGTAGTGTAATTTTATGACTGCAATAAATAATGTCTTCAAGAGGGATGCCACAAGTTTTATCACTAGTATTTGTATTCAATACTAGTATTTATTTGCAGTCAACTACTCCAAAGGAAACTTCAAGCAAAAATAACTGAAGGTTATAACAGGGTTAAATGAAAATGACATTTCAGAAATGATATGCAATTTTATTTTTTAACCTATGAATGTATGAAAAACGCACCGCGGATGTTGACGGGGGAGAATCAGGTGAGAAAATGGCAACGTGTAGTTGTGATTATGGGGACTTTGGCCCAAAGCCTTTCTGAAAGGAAATGTTTTTCAACAAATTTCAGGATTTTTCGGGAAGTTTCCTGTTCCCTCACAAAATCTCGGACGTTAAAAAAAAGCAAAGCATTAACATGGCCTCTTGTACAAAGTACCATATTGTTTTAAGGTCAATGGTGCTTTAAGGTTTGTTTCATTTTCATTCTGACATGAACTTTGTCACAAAATGTCAGCAGTAGAAAGACAGACATGACAGTAGGTACTTTACAGAGTTAAAATGTTAAAACTTAAACAGTCAGACCCGCCACTCAGTGGCCCGTTTATACCAAATGGAAGCACGTAGGAGAAATATATTTACATGAGCTGTACTTCAACAGAGGGAACATACTGTACATAAGTTCACAAAAAGCTTCATTCAAAAAGACATCATCTCTCAGCTGGTGAAAATACACATTTTAATCATTTAACACGATAACGAGGTTAGTTTTGTTATTGCTTGTTTGAAAAAAGAATAAAATAAATCCCACTTTTATTTCCGGTTAAAGTGCTTTCTTTTAGTAAAATGACTAAACTCGTTGAACCCATGACAGCCATCGAAGACGAACATGTTACGGTTAAATGGTGTCAGAGTGGAATAAGATATGAAACAGCCCCTTAAAATGACACGTAAACGTCATATTTACACGAGTCGTACCAGGTAGTCCTTAAAAGGTCCAGTGTGCTGCAATGAGTGCAAACCGTGAAGAATGGGAACGTGATGATAGCTGGATATTTAGATGGCCCCTTCCCTGTCCCCCGTGCCATGTTGCATTGCGCGACGCTACGTGCAACACGGCGTGCAGCATCACGCGTTTTCTGCATAATGGAGCCTTTAAACACAGTACTGCGATTCAGTAATACGCACAAACAAACTCAAAGAGTTTTCTTGGTACTGTTCGTCCCTTTCTCTGGTGGAGAAATATTTCGTCTCTAAAAGAAGAATGGGCCACATTTTAACAGAGCGGCCTAGTACCTAACATTACATATCACACAATATAAAATACATTTAAAACCTGCTGTAGGTTTGTTCTAGTTTGTTCTAGGCTGGCTGACACCTTATTTTTTACAGACTTGTTGTTTTCAGGAAATGCTCAGGTGCTCAGCTTTCATGTGGTCCACATGTTGGTGTGTGTAGAAAGGTGAATACTGGCTGTGCGTGGGGGGAGGGTGCGCTTTCGTTTAGCAGCAGACGCTCCCTCCTCTTCCCCCGATTCTCTCCACCACTTCCTCCCACATCTTCCTGTTTTCGCCCTCGGCTTCATACGTTGCTGATGCGAACGCTCAGCGGGCTGCTGTCTCTGGCGCGGCCCCGCTCCCGCTTCTTTTCCTTCCCCTTGCAGTGCTCCTCCAGTATGAGCCTCTCCCGGCTCGCGTCGTCTTCCCTGGCGCCGTTGGCGCGCGTCTCCGACGGCTGCCTGCGGAAGGGAGACGTCTTGGTCTTTGCCACTTTGTCGAAGAAGGCGAAATCCGCCACGTATTTCCCCGACGGGGAGAGGGAGACGACGGGCGGGAACTCGTAGCCCCAGAGGATCTCGTCGGGGAGGTACGACGTTCGGACCTGGCAGGTGGCCGACGTCGGTTCCACCGTGGCGCTCATGATCACCAGCAGCTCAAAGTCAGCCAGTTCCGGGTCTGCCCAGCCTCCACCTGGTGGACAAAAATAAATAAAAAACATGACTTACAAGTGCTTTTAAATAGCTTGTAGACATGAAATTATAAAGTTTAGGTAATTCAATTTAAAGACTTAAAGACACACGCAGTGGCTACAGCTAATGACATTTGCTGACTTGACCTCTGACCGGTGTCCACAAGGAGAATGAGCCACGCAAAGTCATTGCTAAAGGATCTGGTTGTTCATAAAGTGCTGCCTTCAAGCATACTGGTGAAAGTTCAGTGGAAGAAAAAAATGCAGTCGGAAAAAAAACCTACAAGCAACAGAGATGACCGAGAAAAAGGCCTTCCAGCCATTTAATATATATATTAAGTATATATTTCAAGTATATATTTTTTAAATTCTTCTGAAGAAAACCGTGAACCTTTTTTTATTTTTTCTATTTCTTCTCTTCTTCATTGTGTCAGCATCCTTTTCTTCCTGACTGCGCACCCTTTCACACGCCAAGAGTGCCACGTTAAATCACTTCAAAAGCCCCAAAATTATCATTCATAAATGTGATTTTTTTTTTAAATGAAATACAGAAATGATTGATTTTTCTTTTAATACCAAGGTTTTATAAATACTTTTACATCGTGGTCATGCCGCTGAATATTCTGAATGTGATTATATCTGCAAATCTAAGTCGTACAACAAGGCAACAAATACTATTGAGAAGATAATTAGGATGTTCATTGATCAAATTGACTAATAAAATTAAATTATTATAAAACATATTTGATATATTTGTTCTTAGTTCTTAGTTAACATATAATTATTTAAGAACTTAATCAGTTTGAAGATTTGTTAGCCTTACGACGTAGGAGATAGATGGAGCAGATAGGAGAGAAATAAAACCAATCATGTCTTTAAATAATGACGTTTATTTTTTACTATTATTTGAAGAAAGTCGTGGTTGGGTTAAATTCATCTAGTCTCAACCAGATAAGATGGGAACACTCACGTCCACATGACACACTCCAGTTCTCTAAACCACCAAACCATGAAGCTTCTCTTTAACCACCCGACTGGGAGGAAAGCGCTTTCACACTTTGATACTTTTCCACGTAGAATCTGTCATTTGTCACATGTGTGGAGTTTTTCCAATACAATTCGGTGACTATTTATTCAAAACACGCAGAACGTGGAAACTTTGAATGGCGTCCCCCCCCCACACAACGTCCCCAGAGGACGGATCAGCAGACATACGCAGTCAAGCAGGCGAACACCTGCATCCCCGGGGTTTCTCAGACCGCAGACTCTCTCATCTGTGAAAACAAGGCTCAGTCCCAACACAGACCAAATATCACTCCCACCACTGCAAACACCGTGTTTCGCAACCCCTCTGTCACCACAGTGACACAATTATCAAGGGATTGTCTGCCTTTCTGTTGCTCTGACTCGTTTACAGATCTCACAAGCCCTCTGAAAATACACCTGAACAGATCCACGTCTTGCTGGCCATCACTGTGTGTCAATGAGGAACACCCTTTCAGACCATTCGCTATTGAACTGGCGGTGAAAGGGGAACCCAAGTTCATGACTTTAGAATGACTTTAGAAAAAAAAAATATTGAGGAAGAGTCCAGAATATGAAAACCGAAAACTAGAATTAGCTCACGAGCTAAGACAAAAAACAAAGTTTGGTCTGTCCTTGATAAATTGGAAAGGCAAATTATCAATGAGTCATATCAAAACAGAGTGTACACATGCTCACATGGCACTTTAGCAAGCTGAGCTTAAAATCATTATCAGCAACAGTAAGACACAACAACACTAAAGAGAGTAAGAAGCTGCTTCCATGCAAATTTTGAGTGAACTTTTAAAATGTTGCCAAAACCCCCCTCCCCCAACCCCCCGAAAATGCAGATTTCCATCTACTGGTTTATAGCGGATCAACCAAAGCGTACTTTTGCCAGATTTGGACTCTTCACTCGGCAGCAATAAGGTGAAGAGTTTGCAAACCAGCACAAACTCAACTCAGAAAATAAAAAGCTCTCTTCTCCCTGCTGGAGATTTGGACGTTTCTTAAGTATTACAAGTTTCATGCCTCTGGTAAGGCACCTCAAGCTCATGTCAGACCACTTTTGCAAAATTGTGGAAGCTATTTAGACATTTGTAAAGCTTGAACTACAAATAGTATGTGAAGGAGGTAAATATGAAGAAATAAAAGCTTCTGGATAATCTTCGGAGAATCCAAGTGGGCCTAGCTGGCGGAAAAGCACCAAATATGCTTCGTGGGTTCTCCTGCAGTGATGAGAGCTCTGAGCTGCTGTAAGTGGATCTGTGCGGGCTGCATGTCAGCGCCCCGGACTGTACAGTATTGTGCTCTAATGAGGGGTGTCTCGAGCGGGCTCTCTCACACACATTCCTGCCAGAAAAAAAAAAAAAAAAACAACTCTCCTCCAGTGCCAAACAAACCCAACTGTGGACAGCTCGACACGGCCAAGAACGCAGCACGTGACCTTGAATACCAACACACCTACATGCGCATACATGCGCATTGCACCTACACGTTTTGTCAATTACCATAACTCCACGGTTAATGTAAAATTCCAATCACTTTACTCGCCGCGGACACGTGGGAGACGGTTAAGAAGCAATAATGAGACGCTTGTTCAAATATGGACTCAGAAAAGCTTCCACATTGCAGCTCAACGCGTTTGGCAGGAGTGGATCAGACCTGCCGACGCAACGTCATGAGAGCCGTGACGTACCCTTTGCTGCCCAGGCTCTGAGCGGGCTGTTCTCGTCGATGATGTGGTAGAACGTCAGGGGTATGATGAGGAAGGGGCTGTCGCTGGACGTGTCCACCTGGAAGGGCACGTTGCGCTGGTCCAGCCGCACCGTTTCACCCTCTTTGGTCAGAGACGTTTGGAGCAACTTCCCCGTCACCTGGGAGCCAAGATGTAGTCAGTAACTGCAGCCAAAGTAGTTGGTCTTGTCACCGGACGGCTCCCGGCTGAATATTTACATTGGCCCTCAAGTAATGGCTCTAGAATAAAGCATTAATTAGTAGTCACTGCACTGACTCCCTGTAGCTCAGAGAACACACTTTAAAACGACCCCTCGGGTCTTCTGGTTCCGCTCTGCGTCCCCAGAACCAGAACCAAACATGGAGAAGCAGCATGCAGCCTCTATGCACCACAAATCTGCAACAAACCTCCAGAAAAATGCAAAACAGCTGAAACAGCTGAGTTCCTTTAAATCTAGACAAAAGCAGCTGTTTAGAGTTGCTCTAGAAACCTAATCATGAAACATTAATCGTGATGTTGTTGATTGTGTGTTCTATGACTTTGTGTTTTTGTGTTCTTATGATGCAGAACATTTTGAAACGCCTCGTCGCTGAAAGGTGCTATGCAAATAAAATTTGATTGACTTATTGATACGTCTCTGTTTCAGAGCAACAGGCAAAAAGAAAGAAAATATGCAGTTTTTACTTCAATATGGAAATCTTTCAAACTATTGTACACATGGAGTCTTCGTGATCAATCATAGGAAACCAGAACGTGTCTAAATGCTGCATGGCACATCTCCAAAAAAAAAAAAAAAAAACACACTTTCACCAAGACATCTGCACTTTCAGTTCCTCATTTGAAACTATCCAAAACATTTGATAGTTTTATTAGTACTTCTAAAAATGTAGCAATGTTTAACATCTTCTCACATTGGTGTAATAAGCTGAATTGTTTTTGATTGATTGAATAATATTTAAGTATACAACTATAAACTTAAGGTTCACTGTAACCCCCTAGACTCTATAGGGCCCCATTAAAGGTTTTGGCGAACAGGATTTTACCCAAGGGAGTGTTTGAGTGTGATCTGCTATTGTAACCAGAACTATGAAAAACACATTGACGGCGTTTGGTTTCCCAAAGCCCACCATTGGAGGGACTGAGATTAAAAATCTCAGAAACTCTCGTCATGTCAGATTAAGACTAACTGGTCAGTCTTCAGGGCGCCTGTGAAAGCTTGAACGCAAAATGTCAGATGGTTGCAAAATTGGAAAAGCCCAATTCCAACGTGGAAAACGATGATGGCACTACTGCGCTGTCGTAGACTCACCTAATTGATTTCCCCTGCCTTTCGACTATATTCAATAATGCTACCACCATGCGAACGAAATCTCCTCAAAAAATGAAATTTCACAATTTCCTGTAAATAAGTTTCTGTACCTCAACAATCACTTTGTGGAGAACAAGAGGATAAAGAAGGTTTTTTTTTTTTTTCATTTTTACACACGTAACAGCTGGGAGTACCAGGGTCCCCCGATCAGGCTCTTGAAATGCTGCAACTTTACTAATGAAGGAAAAATCTGAAAATTACCATTGGGGTTTTGTGCATGTGCAAATCATGTAGGAAACTATGAATTTCCATCACAGTTGATAAGGAGAGCATTTTATCTTTAATGCAAACAACAACCTACAAAGGTCAACCCACAGTCTGACTAATCTCATATTCCATGATTGGTCTGACGTGAGGGGGCTTAAAAGGGCTTTTAGGGGGATCCCTACACACCAACACACTTCCACACAGTTTTGTTGTTCATCTCTTCTTCTATTTTTAAAATGTTTTTGTTTTGCTTTGTTTTGTTCTGTTTCAGGCGGGGGAGATTACGCTCTGAATCAAACCAAAAACACCCACCATGAATGTAGTTGAAATTTCCAACGTTGTTTTTAATGCCACACTTTAAACTCACATTAACTAGAATTAACTATGTCAACTTCTTAAATCATTGCACATTCACTGCAAATAGGATGTCTCTCATGACTAAATATTAATTGGCAAAGAAAACAGTACAAAGAGTAATTTGCACTCATGACAGTAAAGTGTACTTGTGTAAAATTTGAGAAGTTTGATCAAAATCAGTTAAGCTAATAGATATTCCAAGAATCGTGTCTCGGAGGCGTTCAAGAATCCGCGCTACTCTTTGACGTGGCGTTGAAAATGTCTGCACAGGCCGGTGTGAGACGTCGGCTTGATGCGAGTGAACATCTTTCAAAGCGATCTTCTACCTGACATCCCAACAGCAGGCTCTTGCGCATGTTGGCCACTCGGATCATCAGGCAGGGCCGACCCTCGTGAAACGACACAACGGCATGTTGACTGAACTTCACCGTCTCGCCTCTCTTCTTGGGACGGGCAACCTGCCGGAGGAGAAGAAGAAATCTGAGGTCAGGATGGATCCTCGTCGCTAAAGTGGTGCATCGAAAACACTGTAAATTAAATTCTGAGAACACGAAAGAGTAAAAGTGAATAGTTTCACATAAAAACAACAGCGGGAAACTTTTTTTTCCCTACTTTTCAGATAGGACTGATAACAATCCGCAAACAAAAACTGTGACACTGATAACTGACGCTGACGGTTCAGTATGATAATTATTCTGGCGCGCTGGAGTCTGTTTCTAATAGATCAGAATGATAGCAGCTCACCACATGCAAGTTTTCTGCATGAGCAACTCAAATACGAAGATAAGAAATAGACTTGTACTTGTGCAGTACATGAACAACAGCTAAAAATACACACAGTGTTTGCCAAGACTGCATACATGTTACGTGTCACTGATGGCGTAGAACTTAACTCAGAAACAAAAATGCTAGAAATAAAGATGCTGCAACAGCTTTGTTGCATTTGTGTGCACAGCTTAAGATAAAACACTGACGAAGCTCCCTTTGGATTTATTTTCACCTTTTGGTTTTTCAGCAGAACTGTCGTCATCCAACACTGAGCCCAGTTTAAGTGACCGCTCAGATTTTCTGACACTTAGCTTTGGGTTTTGACTAGGACACTGTAGCCATGATGCTGCCGCCACCATCTGTCACTGCAGCCGCAGTGAAATATAGACAAGCGACTCCTCAGCAATTAATTGGCTACACAAACAGTTGTAATTCTATTCAGAAATTAAAAACAAGAAGCAATTACTTTTGCGAGAAAAGTCCCAGTGATGAAAATCTCCATCACCATGGTGATGACCAGCTGAACAATGAGCAGGACTATTGCGACGGGGCACTCCTCTGTTATGCACCGGAAGCCGTAGCCAATCGTGGTCTGCGACTCCAGGGAGTAGAGGAAGGCCCCTGTCAACGTCTTCACCTCCATCACACACGGCGTGTGATTGGACGGTGGGTCGAACTCTGAAGGCAGGAGACAAGGAGCAGAAGATCAATCTGGAGCCGGGCAAATACCAGAGAAGAGCTCACCGCCTTTGTCTGTAGCGTACAAAACTATTTCAGCAACACCTATATGAGTATTTGACTTCACCGCATGCTTTAAGGACTTTTGACGTGCATGATGTCAGTAAGTTTAGGACTGTTGCGTGTCGGGCATGGCTGCGTGAGTGTCGTGATGCGTACCTAGCAGGTCTCCGTGCACAAGGGCCACCAGGTACCAAAGCACCCCAAACAGGAACCACGTCCCGGTAAAAGTGGCAGAGAAAAAGAAGAACTTGTAGCGCCACTGCATGTCCAGGAACGTCGTCCAGAGGTCACGGAGGTACAGGGCCCCCCTGCCGCTGATGTGCTCGATGCGGACGTTGCTCCGTCCGTCCTTGGAGAGGACTCTGCGTCTCCTGCGCAGCGCGTTTGGCCCTCCCGTTTCCCCCCCACCGGCGGCGGGAGCCCCGCTTCCCCCCGTGGAGCTCAGCAGGGGCTTGCTGATGTCCGTCTGCGTCTGGGAATGGCACACTTTCTGCGGGGAGGAGCCTTCGGAGGACGGAGGAGTGGCTGAAGTCATGGCTGGCACTGGACAGACAGAGTGGATGTGAAGGAAGGGGGAGAAAGATGTGGAAAATGGGCTTAAAGTGAGCAGTGAAGGAGGATGGTGTGGAAAACCTGCTGAGAACAATAAAGTTGAACAACAAGGGGAGTCCAAGTGTAGCGTAGTTAACAACATCACATCGCTACACAAGTAAAAAGGTTGAAGATAGCAAATGTAAAAAAGAAGAATAAAGAAACAAAAGTATCCCGTATGAACAGGGAGGTGACCTAGTGGAACATTTAACTTGAAAAAAAGAACAGGAGAAAGAGATTAGATGTGCATTTCAGGACGACGGCGTTGCAGTCCGCCATGCAAAGCTTTTTTTTTCTCTCTTCCTGCCTTTTCAAAAGACGGGCTTTCACTAAGCCAGGAACTCTGTCTGTGAAAAATCATGCTAAATTACTAATTTTGTGCAAAAATAACCAAATCAAGTAGAGGAGATAAAATAAATGTCATACTCTCCCGGCTGTACTCTGGTACTTTGGGATTCAAACAAATTCCTGAGACAATCCACTCAATCAAAACTAAAATTAAAGTTGAAAATAAACTAGCTGGTTGGTTGGTTGATGTATGTCATAGTGAGTAACATGATGATTAAACTTATATTGCTCTTTTGGGTGTGTTCTATTTTTTCACTAAAGATGTCATCGTATGTTTCCAAGTTTTGGCCTGTTTGCTGGTCGAGACCTTTACAAACGATACACATGACAAACTCCTAAAAGCTGTTGTTTTGTGAACAGTTCGTGCAGCTGTAATTTGTCGACTCGGTTTTTGAGTTTTGCACTTTGTTGTGTTCAACTTGCAAACGTTATCATCGACCTGGCGCATTCTTTCCTGAATGCAGTTGTTTACAATTTACAATACATTGAGACCGTACTCAGTGTTGGACTTTCCTGTAGAAATAAAGTGCAAAGCTCATGAGGCAGGAGAATTATTTTGTTTTTTTGTAGGTCATGTCTTCAAACAATTAATTCAAACTTGACGGAAATATGTTCTGCGAACAAAAATGACCAGTGACCTCTCGGCGCTGGCTTGCTGGCTTTGGCCTGAGCATTCAGCAAATGTTTCCACATGGAGACTCCACCAGAAGTCTGAAATCTCATTACCCGACATTATTTATCTCTAAGCTTCACTAATGCTCATAGTGGAATCTTGCAGCTACTTTTTCTTGTGTCTGTCATGTGCGTCCGTCTCGATATTGTCGTCGCTGCTCTGGAGATGCCGGTTCTGCCCTGAAATATGAGTCTCTTGTCTGGCTGGCCTAAAACTGCGCCGTCGTCACTTGTACGCTGAAAATGATGACACGCCGCGATGACACCCTGAAGCCCTGGCATAAGTGGATTGCAAAGTATCAATAGTTTATTAAGTGAGTGAGAGATGCCTCACCCCTGGGTGCCACGGACGCTTATAGCCTCTTGACTTTCCCTTCCTTCGTAAGCTCTTAAAAACCTTACTTCTCATCTGGACTACAGTTTGTCTTTCTCCACATCATCCTGTTTTTTGGGGAAGTTTTTTGTCTTTCCTTCCCTTTCTGCCCATTCTTCGCTCTGACCGAGCAGAGAAATTGTCTTTGCTTTCTGGAGCAAATAAAACAAAACCCAAAACAGCACAGCCAAAACAAAAGCCTGAAAAAACCCGGAGCGATCTGATACGCTCTGTCCTTTCCTGTCCTGTTTGACCCTTGTCTCGCCTCCCTCCGTGTTGGAGCTCGCACAGAGTGAATGAATAGAGAGCTGTGTTGAGCTCTGTGCTATGAATACTAAGATGAAGCGGGGAGGAAGAGAGAGGGAGGGGAGGAGGCGTGGTCGCGAGCTCGGGCATGTGATTGGACTTGGGCCACACCAGCTGAACTCTGAACCCGAACAAGGCTCCTGCCTACGCATACAGTAAACATATGTACATGTAAACCATTTGAGCAGCTATGACTTGGACAATGCCATTTAGTGTCCAAAGGGTTGCTAACTTTCCAGAGATAAAACCTCTAACCTTACATACAATTCCAAAACAAATTCCCCCCAAAAAATATACAACACTTCCAAAAGTATTAACTTTTAAACGTATTAACATTCAGAGTAAGGTTTAATAGGATGCCGACCCACTCTTTGCATGTCGAATAGCTTCACATCATCTGGGACAGCTTCTGAGGAGTCTGTTTATTGACCATTTGACCATCCTTTATTAGTGAGGTCAAACACTGATGTTGGGAGAAAAGACTTTTCCAATAGTGTCCATTCTAATTGGGGTGGAAGTCAGGACTGTCGCTTTCTACACCCCATTTCTTTATTGACCCTGGAGATGTTACAATTGTTCAAAATGTATTTGCATGTTGGCTCATTAAGAGTTGATTTTTTTTTTCTACTGGAAATAATTCACAGAACAATCCATCGTTATAACGGCAGGTCAGCATTCTTTCGTCAGTCCAGTCTCCGCTGCTCTAGACGATAGTCGCGGTGTGCATTTGAACTAATGGAAAAGAAATTAAGTTTGGAGGACCGTTGTCAAAATTTGAGGCTCATTTAGACCGCGCCAATCGAACCCTTCTTCGTTTGGGTGAATCCACAATAAAACTCAGATGTGGACCTGAGCCAACTCTGAACCGTCCAGAAAGATGGGTTTTGGTTTGGTTTGGTTGAATTGAACTCTGATGCGGCTTGAAAGAGTATGTGAATGGCGAGCAGACCGAAGACCGCTCCAAAAGCAGGAAACACACTCGAGTTGCATTCTGGGTAAATACAACCTTAACAAATACAAGAGTCTAGAGATAGTGGGAGAAATTTCTCAGTCTTTCACCAAATGCAAAAGAGAAATCTAAAATTTGACACTGCTCCATTTTCGTTTACATTTGCAAAGACGGACGCTGCACTACTCAGTGTCTTCTTCAGAGGTTTTTTGAGTCGATTCCTTCACTAGTTCTTGGTGCAGCGCCACCACAGGCGAGGAGGTGAACAGGATATTGCAACTTTGGCCCCCAATTGAAGCGAGTTTACTTGACTATCAGGTGTGAAAACACTTTTATTTTAGCAACCTATTCATGGCCTACTTCAGGAGCGTCTTTTGTGGCATTTTTCAATCTTTATCTCAGTAATTGTCATTTGCTCCATGGTTTATTCAGGACTTTTCAGTTTCAAATGCTGCCACATTTGTTAATTTCCTCTGCTGTGTGAAAACTCTCCAATTTAAACACTTTGTTGTCAGATCCTCTGTTGCCCTCAACCTTACCTTGCCAATCCCGTATCTTGAGTTCTGTTATTAAAATCACAATAAAATAATTTCACAACTTGATCGCTGCCTGCTGTGCTCTTCAGTTTTCCTAATGTTCGCTCACAAAGCCTATGGAGCAATTCAGTCCTGTTGGCAGCTGAAATTAATGCATTTTTTAGACTTTCATTTTTGAACAATAGTTTTAAAAAATTCCCTTGTTATCCATCTCACAGGTTTGCAATATTTTTATTGATCTAAAGCGTAAAATGCATCGAATAATGAAGCGTATGTGCATTCCGCTTATGTTACCCACAGACAGTGACACACTCCGTCTCACCACTGACTCTGAGCCCATGGTGTCACGTTTCACTGCCCTGTGCTTCCCTGTGGTTTATTTTTCAACATGTAAAGTGATGACCCATATTGCCTCCTAATAACTGGATCGCCCAACCAAGCAATTGTTGGGTTCCTGTTGTACAAAAGGAAACGGAAAGCAATTCAATAGCCCTCATGCCCTTGATGTTGGTATTTCTAGGGGTAATAAATATTAACCATTTAAATTACTTGCACTTAAATCCAGCAACAATGTTAATTATTTAAAAAAAAGAAAAGGATTTTGATTATAATGGAGATGTTGGTTTCTTCAACTGTCATTCTCATCCATCGTGTCAACCATCAGCCCACCAATTCAAAACAAAATATATTGGTATATTTTAAGTTACGAACTTCAACCAGTGTGTTGGACCAAGATATCACTTCAGTGCTGCAGATATGAATTTACTCATCACTGCTTTGTTGTTTTGTGCTGGTATTTTTTCAGTGGAGTTCACTTTTTACTTGTTCGTCCATCTTTAATTCAGAATTAAATGATAATTATTTAGTTTCCTTTTATCAAAAGCAGCTAAACTTGGAGGGAAGTATATGAATTTGTCAAAGTGTTTGTATGTTATGTGGTCTGATGTTCTTTATAATGCAATAATGAAGGACTGTTTCCCCTTCTTCAAAACAAAAAACAAAAAAAGGATTTACTGATAAATATTATGCAACACTGATAAATGTAACATCCTTAACAGTGACTCTTGTCTTTTCATTACATTTTGTAGATAAGGAGTAATACATGTAGAGAGAAGGAAAAATCACAGCAGCTCTGTTTGGTTTGATTCAAGCGAATGCCGAGAAAAGTTTGGTTCGTTTGCGGAGGTGTGAATGCGCAACTGAACTCTGAAGCGGTCCAAAAAACAAAATCAGACTCTCGCTCTCGGCTCGATTCAAATGCATTCGTGAACACCGAGTGGACCGAAGACAGCTACAAGAGCAGGAAGTAGACGATAGCGCAGGGCATTCTGGGGAAAGACAACCAAAACAAGTGCAGGGGACAAAAGATAAAATCCCACAACTTCTAAAATCTGATGCAACTCCACCATTTTTTTTTCTATTACTATTGTCTGAAAAAGAAAGTGCTGCTGATGTCTTCTTCTGAGGTTTTCATGTCGTTTCCTCCTGCAGTTCCTGGTGCAGCGCCACCGCAGGTGAGACACATAACAGGTTTTCTCTTTTTCCACAGAGCAGCGTGTGTAACAAATGTAACAACTTTTTACGCTTTGGGGGCTTCTACAGCCAACTTTATGCTTTTTCTGCCGCTGTGACTTTTGACAAATTTCCACAATCGCTCGAAACTTCTTGTTTTTTTGTTTTTTCACCCCCAGAGAATGACAACGGTCAAGGTTGTGATCTCTTCCGCCCCGTCCGGCCCATGCAGCCCTCGTCTTCCCTCTGTCCCGTGTGCACAAGAATCCTTTTGTTTTCGACGAGATGAAAGGGACAAAAGCCACTATTGAAGAATCCGACTGGCTGGGCGAGTAAGTGAAAGAGAGCAAGTTAGACGGGGGGAAAGGACACCAGGACCAAGTTGATCCTGTGTGAGCATGAAGTGCTTTGGACAGAAGAATTAGCTCAGGGAAGATTTGAGGAGAGAAACGCAGCGTCAGGTGACAAAACAGGAGGGAAAAAAGAGCGGGAAAGATGGTGAAGGATAAAAATACAGTGGCGGGGGAATGTGGAGTGAAGGTGGTGGTGACAAAAGCTTGACATTAGTATTCCAGAGGAGAAAGTAAATCCCTTCCACTCTGCCCAGCGTCCGCACCCCTGCAGCCAGTGCACGGCTCCGAAAGGAAGTCCAGCTGAATGTTCTTGAACAAATGTCCCGCAGCACAGCAGCCTCAGCAGGCCGGGCTGAATGGAGGGCCCCAAACATTAACGCGCGCCGCGCCAAGATGGCATCTGGCAGGGCCAACTCGAGACGACGGAGAGACAAACTTCATTCAGCCCGGCACAAACGAGCTGCTGTCGAGTCGAGCTGCTTTATCTTCGAGAAAAATGATTAAAGGCGATCTGATTAGGACAGAAAGTCTTCTTTTGACGTCGACTTGCATGTCGGGGCGCCCCGCGGCTGACCTGCAGATGCAGCAAGTTTCCGCACAGATAAATGTCACCCGGCTCCCCGTACGTTTGTGAGTTGATGTGCTTGCAAGCGTTTTTTCCGCAGGGCGATTATTTGACATTCACCGCAGCCTTTAATGTATTTTATGAGGATTTGGTGTCAGAGATCAACACAAATGACTTCATGTAATCGTGAAGGAGTAAAACCACAACTTGGATCTCTACAGGCTTTAGAAATTCAACTCTGAAAAGTGCGGTGCGCTTCTTTTTTTCACTTTTCTGATAAATCATAGTAAAATTGCCTTTTAGGAAAGAGAGCGACCTCGTCTCGGCTGTTCCGTGAACTGCGGTTTGTTAGAGAAACGCTAATGAACAATCGGCATCATTCGGCTAATTCATCTCAAATTGGAGTCAAAGACAGTTTCGCCGACCCCAAAGTGAAACTAAACGTTGTCGTAACTCATTTAATCAAAGAGTTACTGCAGACTGGTGATGGATGCGGCACGAGAGACCTCTTGCAGCAGTCTGCTTCGCAACAATTTCTGAAGAAGCCTCTGACTGAAGACACTCTGCCTTTCAAAGACAGTGTCGTGGAGAGGATCCTCAGGGAGGACGGTGTGCAGAAGCTTGAAGTTGATTAACGGTTAAAACGAACAAAAAAAGGGCACGTTTTTCTAACGTTTTACAGATTTCACTGAGGTCGACCCAAAGGATAAAGAATATCTAAAGGAATAAGTGGAGGAAGCTGCGGTGGTCAGATGAAACAGACATAGAAAATTATAGCCTACGTGAAAAAGATGTTTTTCTACAACGGTGGCAGCTGGTCCGCGTTGCAGACAGATGAAGCTAACGCAGGGTGAGCCTCACCTTCCAGCTGGGCAGTAACTCTGAACATCCAGAGCTGCAACGGAATCGAATCCATGAGTTACGAGTTAGAATGGTCCAGTCAAAGTCCAGACTAAATCTAATCTGGAATCTGTGATTCGAGGTTCAAGGACGCTCTTCATCCAGTTTGACCAAATTTGAGCCAGGTAGCCCAAAAAATCATCATCCTCTGGTTGTGCGTTTTGACACACCACTCGAAAGGACCAAAAATCCTGCTTCATTTTCCAATCGTTTTATAATTATGAGTTCTGTTCTGCTGTTCTGTCACCGAAAAGCAGTTTACTTAGAAAGATGTGGATTTGTTTTGCGTACAGTGCGCTGCCCTGCACTCGAAGCTGCCCTGCAAAGCAGCTGCTCACACAGACCACTCAAAGAAGCCTGGTTAACCAAGAGTTTCTTCGACCTTCTCCTTTTTTTTCCTTTTTCCTACGTTTGCTAAATCACCACCTTTAAGGAATCGGTTTGTATCTGACTGTCATGACTGGACGAAATGCAAAAGTTACACTTGAATTTTGTGAACTCTTGAAGACGAGAACGTTCCATGAAGGTGACATTTTTTGCTGCCTTTGTACAATTTTACAAAAAAAAAAAACAAAACAAAACAAAAAGTTGTTTGCTCGACTGAGCGTTTTCTGAATGAGCGCGACCAGGGATACGAGTTGGGCCTAAGACTTCAACCCAGAAACCATAAACTGTGTCATGACATCCATCCACACATCTGTCCAATGTTTGTTCATTTTTTAGGGTTTTATTTTTGCACGTTATGATCCTGTTCTGTCATCAGCTCACGTCGGGTGCAACAGATCCAATGAAGCTCCACGCTGCAAAAACGCAAAATCTTACCAAATGTTTTTGTTTCTAGTGCAAACATCTTAGCACACTTGAAATAAGACAAGACTAACTTACAAGCAACTTCTCTGCAAGAAACAAGAACTTGATTTGAGTGAATTTTTCCTGAATATTGATGCAAAGTGGTAGATGTAAGTGAAATAAGAGGGACTGTTACTTTTCAATCAACATTAAGGAATCATTTATTTGAATCAAGCTTTTACTTCTTGCAGAACAGTCGCTTGTAAGTTCATCTTGTCTTATTTCAAGATGTTTGCACCAGAAACTATGGCAAAAATACCTGGTTTTGTGTTTTTCAGTGACCACATCAAGCGAACGCCCCTCATGATTCCTTCATAATACTTTGACAGTTACTCAGAATGAAATCACATCATTTCTAAGTTTGAAAATAAGCTTGAATCGAAACCAAATTAACTCATTCTAAATCTCTTGCATTTTATCTGATTAGGTTTTTTTTGTTTGTTTGTTTCACCCCCTTTCCTCTGTCTCTCCGCTTTTGATTTGAGGAACAAAAAGTGAGCCGCAGAGTAAACAAACACAAATGGAAGCCGCCGACCGGATGACGCTCACAGCTTCCTTAAACTGTCGTCTTCACTTTCTCAACCCGTCTGAAGAGTTACAACACATCGCCCGACGTTTGTGAATGGAGGCCGGCTGTTTGCCACAAATTCAGGAGCGGCTCTTTTTTGTTTTGTTTTTTTTTTTCTGTTTTTTTGCAGCATGGCTGTAAATCTGATCAATCTGCTACTGCGGTGGTGCCGCTCGTCGAATTAAAATCGATGGCTGCCGGTGTGAAAACGTGATCAAAACTTTTTAAAACTGATGTAATATAAGATTAGACTGCCACACTGTCAGCTTCTGGAGATGGCTTGAATGTTTTTTTTTTTGTGTGTGTGTGTTTTGCATTAGAGTAAAAGCTAGAAAAGATGTTTTCCTGCAACTTTTGGCTTAAAACTGGCTTTTCTAAGTTCATATTGATTCTTGATTGTTAAACTTCTTCCCACATATAAGTTGTGATTTTAAAAAAACACTCAATAGTGCGTAACGTTGCTCTAAATTAGAGAAGTAAACCTCTGCTGTGTTGCTCTGCTTCTGCACAGCAAACACAGCAGGTGCAGTAAGAACGAGCTGCAGCGTTTACAATCTGCTTTTCAACAGCTGAAGTCTTCCAAGGAGCATTTTTTCCTCATGTTAGAGAACACAGCATCAAGTATTGCACTAATTGATTAACTTTTGTGCATAAGGGTGCAAAAATCTATGTTTTTTTGTTGAACAAGGTAAAAAGCAATACATATTATGTGGCAAACAATACAAAACTCACTCGAATATAGATTTTGACATTATTTCTTACCTTTCTGTTGACTTGTGATGGGCGTTTGCTTTGAGTCCAGCTTGGACGGCTTCACCATCCAGCAAACGTGCAAAAAAAGACAAAAAAAAAAAGAAAAGCAGCAGACGGAGATGTATTTTGTGTGTATGACTTAGAAAAAAAAAGATGAAGAAATTGCTGCAAAACTTCAGGGTCTTGACCGGGTTGCACTTGTTGATGGTTCACACATGTTTAACGTCACTTTTCACCATTGTGTTGCATGTTTTTTTTTTCTTTTTGCTCTCACGACGCTACGTCGAAGTCATCCCGTGCATCTGAGAAAACAAAAAATTTTGAAAAAAGTACCAAAACAAATTTCTCAGCAAATAATAATAATAAAAAAATAAAAATAATAGTAGTAATGATAACGACAAACAAACTGGAACCCGGTCGGACCTGGTTGACGATTCCCCAGCAGCTAGTCAGTGTCTCCCTGCGCACTGGCACTGGCAGCGCCGGTTCCGGCTCACTGTTACTGGATCATTATGTAATCGGATGAGGACAGTTTGCACTTTTTCTTCTTGCTTGCGGAGCAGGGGGAGCGAGAGAGCGCGCCCTGTGTGTCCACTCAGGGAGACCTTAAAAAAGCCCGGGCTGCCCACTCCTCCGAGGACCCCAGACACACACACACACACACACGCATGCGTATGCACACACACACAAACCGACATCACACCAGGCGTACCCCGGCTGCATAAGCCCAAAAGCATTCAGATGGCCACTGTTTTGTGTTTGTTTTTTTGTGACAATTTAATTCATTAATTCAACTCTCCTCCTACCCTCCCACCTAGCCGCTCTCCCTCACTGTACGCGCTAAATGGGCCTCTTTGTTGGACGAGCCTCCTCCGCTGTTTCAGCCTTTGTCAACTTTCTCGTTGCAAAGCGTTTGATGGGTCCAAGATACGAGGCTGGAAGCTGTTGCACTGGAACAAAGATATTTACAAACCCAAAAAAGAAAAAAAGAACGGGGTTAGGGGGCTCTTTATTGTTGTGCGCTTGGCATCTTGCGCCTTTGCGTTGGGACAGAGGGCACTGAATGGGTAATGTGGGAGCATCTCTGTGAGGTGGTGCCATGTCCGCCTGCAGGGAGGGGCGCTCGGTAGTGTAAAAGGCGAGTACAAACGATCCTCCTGTTGATGGAAAAAGGGATGAACGGGGCGGGAAAAAAAAAAATAAATCACCAAAGTAGCAACAACCTCTCTCAGGCTGCAGGTGTAAATGTTGTTGGGGGGGAAAGTGGCTTTATTGGAAGGAAAACCTTGATCGGAGTAAAAGAACATCGTGTACTGAAGTCACTCTGCAGCATATTTGACCCCCATCGAGTGACATGTGGCAGATTTTTACCTACATTTGTTCACCAATGTGTTTTTTTTTCGCGTCTGCTTTACTACTGAACGTCTGTGAAGGATTATAAATTTCTCCTGACTTGAGAAACTGGTGAAAGTCCATGCCGTATTTCACACAACTGATTTTTCCAACTTACATATTAAAGAGCTGCTGTATTTTCTTTTTTTTTTTTTTTTTTTAAGTTGACTACAAATAAAGAACTTTTGCCAACTGTTTCGTAGGTTGATTTTCACTGATTTAGAGATAATAACTGATTGAACTTGTGCAGCTTCTGCATCTTTTGCGTCAGATGAACAGAGCTGGAACCGTTAGGTTACTTATTTACTGATGAAAATTAGGAACGAATTGAAAAATGTCAACACATTTTCAAAGATGTTTTTTCATTATTATTATGACTATTTTTAGAAGCGCAAATTGGAGACGGGTGCCACATTTCTGAACAATGGCAGCCCTTAATGAACTCCATTTACACATAATCGGACATTTAGAACTACCAGAGATAGCAACTTTATTGGTAATAAATGATCAGAAATGTTTTTTTTTTCTATCAAATTTTCCCCCGAAACTGTTTGAAGAAGTAGAAATCTGATTTTAAAAATAATACCATGTGACATTTGGATCATGATCCACTGCTGGACTCTTTCTATTCTATAAAATCTGCAAAAAAAAAAAAAAAAAAAAGAAAAAAAGAAGTGAAAACATTTGGAAAATTACAGGATCTACTTTCAAATTAGAAACGAAGCTGTTTTACACGCTTCTATTGTTATGGATAAAGGAAACAGATATTCTTGATCACTGAGGGACGAACCAAACCATCATCGTTCTCAATAACTGGCCACCAAAGTGGCTTTTAGCTAGCTTTGCTTGCAGGCAAACAGATGCACATCTTTTTGAGTGCTTGCTGTACTGCGGCTGCTTTCAATTTCACCCACTGAAAACAGTGTGAACTTCAGACAGGTTAGACAGTTGGTGGGATCGTTTCCGCATGGCACCAAAGCAGAAGGCGACATTCTTCTTGGTTACTTAGTTAAGAGTTAAATCAGAGTAAGTACCTCTTGCTTTGAGTGAAATGATATTTTACGTTACAGCGATCGAACACAAACTGCGGTTTGTGGGTGCATTCTATAAAAATAGCACAATTTGAGTCCCTCTCATCTCTTTGGTTGTATTTCAACAAATATATAACCGCAAAGGACATTTTAACAAGTTTACAAATTATGTCAATCTCAAATATGTGCAATGTTTGTTGAATTTTGAAATCCAAAGATAACATACCGGCCCATTAATTAATTTGAAGTGGCCTATAACGAGCATGAGTTTGCTAAAGGGACAGGTCCTTGTTTGGCAACGTTGTACATGTGCTGCACAAGCAGCAAAGCAGCTTTGTGCACCTACCAGGGAATCTGGAATGAAAGTCCCCATGTGGTGCATGGCGGTGTGAACCGCCAGTGCTGCACTGCACCAGAAGCGCCACGCAACACTTTCCTCCAGCAGGAGAAAATACTATGGGACTATTCGACTCAACGTCTCCGCAGGCTTTGGGGCTCCCCTAGTTGAAACCTCATTCAGGTCATGAAATCTGCTGCAGATTCGAAGAGAGCGACGACGGGCTTCTCTTTGAAGTTTCCCCCCTTTTTTTCCATTTTTTTCCCTTTTCTCATTGGATGGTTGAAATCTCAAAAGTTGAACCAAAATATCAGTTCCTCCTGGTGGCTCAGTGGGTGTTTCACAGCAACTTTAGCAGCTTTGTCAACGGCTGCCTGAGAGCTGAGAACGCCTCTGCTTCACTGCGCTGTGAAGCAAAATTCTGCCCTTAAAGTCGCTGAACGCATAATCGAGAATTTGCAAATTTGATGTTTCGTAACTGTGCACTTTACTACCACAGTTTAGCCGGCAGCGTTGGATCAGTTAGCCGCCATTAGCTCCTGCGGCGTGTGAAACAGGCTTGTACGGGTTACGTTATGGAGGCCTGTGCAGCGTGTTCTGCAGTGAACATGCAGAACCGTTTTCTGGGAAGATTCTGAAGAGTGTGCTCTCTCCAGATTTGAACAGTTCGGCAGCGGCGCTAATGCTAAAGTTACATTTGCTTGCAAGCTAATCCGCAAAAGAAAAGTGCATTGCAATTGATGCGTTGGAGACTTTTTCGGTTGTGGCACAAAATAATATAATCAAGAGCAAAAAAGTTATATTTTCAAAGAGTTTTGCATTTTTACAAATAAATGCATCAAATGAAATGAGCACTTGCCATAATTGGCTATCAAAATGAAGATTTTGCGAAACTGCAATGTTTATGTGCATCGTGTGAGTCACATGACGTCTCCACTGGCGGAAAAGACGAAGAAAACGACAGGAAGTGGCCGGAGGAAGACGACTCTGCATGTTTTTTTGTATTTTTTTTAGCGATTTAACACTTGAATAAATTTCTTTGCGTGCGAAAATTTTGCTTTTTCAACATTAATAAGAGTGTACAAAGGTTTCCAACAAAAGCTTTGCACCGAAACGGAAACGCAGCGACTGTGTTGAACGGCTGATGATGGCGAGGGTTGCCATGTCAAGTTCTTCATGCTTGAATTTTTGGACTTAATTTGACCTGAGTTGTACTTATTTAAAATATGATTCATGTGGCATTTATGAGGTTTAACACAGTTTAATTGCTTTAGTTACAAACATGTTTGTTCCCCATTTATTTCACACAATCTTAATAATGAGTATTTTTATAATCTGGCTTATTGATACATTTTAGCAGTTAAGTTATATGATGCCTAATCAGAGATGTATATAACAAAAAACATTGAAATATTGTTTTTTAAACGTTGATGTATTCTGTTCCCTTTATTCGTGTTTCTTTCCACCTCCATGTTCATTTTAACACAACTTCTGCTTTTACAAGCAGTTCTTTTAGCACGAATAAACAAGAACAGTTCACCAAAAAGAATTTGAACCACTACCTTGTAAGAAAGAATGAAATCCTAATGCATGAGAAAAAAAACAGCATGAATCCTGTCAATGACAAATAACAGCGATCTTACTTTTCTGAAAGAATGTCACCTTTGACAGAGAATAAGTGACCGATTTAGGAAAAACTATGTCACAGATGTCAGCTGTCACTGAGCTGAAGTGACCAAAGGGGGAGGAGGAGGAGGGAGGAAGGAGAGGGAAAAGGAAAGTTTCACAAAATAAAAGAAGAGATCGAAAAAAGAAAGGAGAGGTGAGGGGGAAATAAAGAGTCAGGAAGAGGACGAACAACAAAAGAGGAGGCTGGGAGGAAGGAAAAACCCAGTCAGCTCATGACTACTCCTCCTTTCTCCTCTTTTTCCTCCCCTCTCTTTGTCGTCTTGACGCACAGGCTTCCTTCTGCTTCTTTGTTTTGTTAAATGAGCGCATGGCGCTGGGTCTGAAATGTTCAAACGTAGAACATTTTGGTAGAAAATGAGGAACTGAAAGGCGACAGCATCACAGTTACGCTCAAGCGTTTTATACATTTATAAATATACACCAAAGGATGAAATGATGTGTGGATATTTTTTCATTACTCCATCCGATAGATACATTTAAACTTCATGTCGTGATCATCACAGGCCTCGGCGGTGTGGAAACGCCATGACTGTGCGCAGGAGGGAATAAGAGTGTGCAAAAGTTTTCTTACAAACACAGCACTGATATATTATGATGCAGTAAAGGTTGCAAAGCAAGACTTGCACAAAGTGATCAACCTTGTTTTATAAAAACACTCATTTCATACTTCATTTCCAGACATTTAAGCATTAAATATATGATCTTAAATGGAAGCTGAGAAATTTCACATTTGACTTATGTCACACGTATCAAGGTTTTTTTTTTTGTTTGTTTGTTTTTTTGCCTTAATTTTTCCAAACCGAATTGCATTTAGTGGTGTTTTGTGTATGAAGATGCATGGCTTTATGGATGATACTGTGACATGCACAACATCATCTACTGGTAAACAGGTTCCCACAGACGTTCTTTTTTCTTTTGGTCAATGAAACTCAAAGGCACCAAAGAACCTGATCCCAACCTCGCCATACGTCTCCTATTGATCATCTGGCAGCAACATGAGTTTCTTCTTCCTGTTCATTTATCTAGAACAGTCTTGCACCTGTTTTGCAAATAGTTTCAGTTTCTCTTCCGATGTGGAAGGTTTTGGTCTAAAATGCCCATCATTTTTGGCCTTAACCCTCAGAGAAGCAAACTTCCTGTTGCCAGTTTGTGTGCAGTGGATATCGAGCGCAGAAACAACCCCTTCCGCCAGCTGCAGGGCAAAAAAAAAGAAAACATTTTGCATGAAGTTGAACTTATTTCAAAGGTTTGAAACTGCTAAA